AATTTATCAGTCTGTATATATAATATCAGTTACCCATCATTTTTGCAAGATTATGGTCTGGTAGTATTAATGAATAACTATATGATTCCTAATGTGATTAATTTCACAGAACACGGCTTCTATCGAAACTTCAGGTAAATCTATTTCAAATTGAATCACTTGCAAGCGAGTAGTTAAGCATCCCTTTAATTTTTAGGTAGAGATTTTTACATCGTTATATATCAACTGAATGACTAAATAATCCGAAGACATGTATTTCAAACGTTATCATAATTATTAGCATTATTCAATATATTTTTAGTACAATATAGAATTCTCAGCATAAAGTATCTCAAACACGTTTTTTCTTATTTCTTGATAGATCCTGACGATAAATATTGAGTGATCACAAGTTAGTTGTTAGCAGTTCAGGAAGAGACATCTGATTAATGTGCATTCTTCTCGATGCATATTGCCAGCAACCACGATGTCTTTAATTACAATTTTTTTGTAACTTATACACAAACGCACTTGAATAGGTTAATAAACATAATGTTGTGTTAAAACACACACGCACACAAAACAGACAATTTATTGAAATATCTAAATGTCAGGAAAAGGTAGCCCAGATTGAATTATTTCTTTTCTGGCTATCGTTTTTTAATGAATTAATTTTCTACGGGATGGGGTCGCTAACCTTTTACCCAATCCTCCTCCTTTATCTAGGCTTGAGATCGGTATTAGCCCTAAAGGAACCCCAGGAGGAGTTAAGTAGTCCAGATACTCAATAATAATTTTGCAAAAATTACTGAACAAGCCAAAACTAAATGATTACAGGTGTAAAATCTTGTTACTTTTTACCCTTACTTATATTGTTCTAAATGAAAACTTTATTTAAAACTGTTCATTTCATTTTGACAGTATAAATAATGTGAAAAAATAATTGTTTTTAACTGATGCTCCTATTACATATAAACACATAATAATAATAATAATAATAATAATAATAATAATAATTTGTTACTTAATTAATTAACAAAACGGAAACCAAACAACCTATCATGATGGATAAGATTTTCCAAAAGTTAATTTATATTGTCGTTGATACTAATTGGAATGAACAACATTATGGATTTCTTCCAGATTATTATTATTATTATTGGATTTACTGTATTTTAATAATACGTAAACAATAATCTTAAGAAGAGTCAAACAACAAGGTTATATAAAACAAAAAAACTCTATGCTTTTATAAAGTGAAGAGACGTAGAGAGAGACATAGGGGGAGAGTGAGAAAGAAGGGGGAGTGAGGAAGAGGGGGGAGTTAGAAGTGAACACGAACACGATATCTTTTATTTGTGTTGTTATTTTTGTTTGTTTTGTTGTTGCTGTTTTTCTTTGTTAGTTGATCAAAAATAATAAGGAAATTTAATTAATTAACATTGATGGAAATAAATAATTTAATTAATTAAATAAAACAATAAAACTATTTATTAACCACTTGTCATATAAAGAAAAATGTTAATGATTAAATTTATTTAAGTTTTTTCTTTAAATGATTGTTTTTTATTTTATGACGTCTAAGTGATCATTTTATTCTCGTTCTTGGATAAATGAAACATTTAGATCTTAATTGGTTATTTTACACACCAGAACTTTGTTTTAGTTAAGTATACATTTTTAATATCAGAACGGGTTTTTTATGGATATTATAGTAATTTTAATAGTTGAGATCATGAGTTAATTGATTCTAGACCATCATGAAAAACCTGGAAGTACTGGACGGTTGGTTCGTCCTACTGTAGGACTCCTCAGCAGTGTGATAGTAACTCAATGAAAACAATGATGGATATGTCGCTCAATTTCATGGATTAGTTGAAGTTAGACAGTGGTTTAGAGGTTAAGCGCTCACGCGCGAGACTGATAGGTCCTGGATTCGAATCTCACAAGGCTGGATTGCTATTCATTTTTATTTTTATAAGCTTTTGACGAGTGTGTATGTTTTGCTTGCTTAATTGTATTTCGTACAATTGATAAAAACAGCGATGAGGCTATAATTATATAGACAACCTATGAGTGACCTTAAAGTGACCTTCAGGATGTCCACCAAGTTACTAGAGCTAAATGAGGGTTATAAACCTGTGTAAAGAATAAGGATTATGATTTACAATTGATGGTTAGGGTTAGGGATTAGATTTATTGTTTTCATCATGAACTGACATCAGTTAAAGTGCCAAAACACTATTTAGACAAATGAGTGAATGAATTTCGCACCGAAATTCAAGATCTATTATCCTAACTCTGATTGATTTGTCCATAAATTACTGTCTCGCCAAAACAGCATTTAAAATCTATGTCATGTCAAATATTCTTTGAGTTAGTGTGTTACCAACTCAAACGCTACATCTTTAGTTGTTTATCTGCTGCATAATATTGGATTGCATGGAATATACTAGTAACTTTTTATTTGACACATTTTATTTCAATAATAACTAACGTGTTCAAGGCAATCTACACAAATAGGATAAATAAAGGTGCCATATTTCATTGATCATTGTTTATTCATTCACGGAAGTCAACTTATGATTATGAAAAGTTCGAGTAACATTCAGAATGCATTAAGTTGAATAATGAAATTTATATACAAAACCTAAACAAGGATGTATGGTGGCTAGCGGTAGAAACTAGGACGCGCGTTTCGTCCTATCTGGGAATTGTCAGCTGGATGTACCTGTGATTCAAGATGAATGAATAAATTGGCCTGTCCAAAAACTAGAATAAGTTATATTGGATTAAAATAGTAACCAATACTACAAACTTTTCGAAATTATGTAAAATGTAAATTATACAGTTGTTTTATTTAAAGGCTATGATAATTAAATATTAGATGAATCAAAATGTTTCCTGAGAGTATAAATTTTACAAATACTCGGAATATTTTGTTATTGATAAAAGTATTCTAGAATATTTGATACATCATAGTTTGTTACTGGTTTACGCTCATAATTCTCCATGCGATTGAATCTATGATGTTTAGTATCCACAAAAAGCACAATACCATCGTATTTGTTAGAACCACTAACTGATCTAAGTTAGATAATTATTGAAAATATAGGAGCTGTAGACGTTTGATTCGTTCACATTAGACAACCAAGACTCCACAAACAGAAAACTGAACCTAGGATCTTTGATCTTACATAAAAATTCTTAATCCCTGGATCACTAAACTAAGGTTCAGTGATATACATGCCTGATATCAATCTACTCACAATATTATATTAACTCTTCTCATAGCTTACTGCAAATTTCAATAGATGTATTACAAAAGTCAGTACATGATATAAATAAAATTCAGTAATTTCCACAAACCTCTATACTGATGATATATACATGAACTTTCGTCTAAATTTGATCGAATAGTTTCACAGTAATTGGGCACCGAGTTGATGTGAGACATTAAAGAGGAAGATTGTATTTGTAAAATCTTAGCGAATGAATTTGAAGTAAATCCAACATTTCACCTAGCAATCTGGTCTAATCTTTTTCAAGGAATTATAATTAAATATCAAAATTATCGAATATAAATAGGTACATGGTTCTCCGGTTTACTGTATACTGAATAAGTCATTCAATCAACGTTAACAATGTTTAAAGTAGGTATTAACATTAATGTGTAAGAGACATGTGGTGTGAAACGAAGAATGTTAAGATAACAGATTTTGTATATACATGAGTGAGAAGAAGAAATTTCATCCACGATATATTGTCTTCAGTCGATGAATATTAAGAAAAACATATAATGTTTATAAATGATATGAATCAAAACTGTCACAGCATGCATAAAATGAAGATAAATAAACAAGATGAAGGAATGAATTCAAAGAGAAAGAATGTATTTTTAATGTTCCAATTAATTGTTTAACATGTTCAGATAAGATAACTGATTAGAACCGTTGAATGTAATTTCTATTATTCAGATAATACGAAACAGATAAGGAGTTCAGGTTTACTTATTAATTATAAGTTGTCACAGGACAACTAACTGTATTCCATCTCGCTTATTAATACTCTTTAGAATTGCCCATATGTTTACAGCTTCGGCTGTAAGTCTTTCTTTGTAAGAATTAAAACCTTTTTGAAAGATTCTTGTGACATTGAAATCAATTATATCATCCGATTCTTTTTACTGTAATGCTATCGCTGACTGTGCTCCTCACAATCAGTTGTCTTGATATCTCACCTACATACTTAGCATTACAGTCAATAAACTTGAGTTCAGAAACACAAGTTTTTTGTTCCTCCTTGTGTTATAGCATGCATGTCAGCACTAAGACCTTCAGTTGATTATATGACGGTGTAGAACTAGATATATAACCCGACCGGTGTCGCTACCTTGATGTAGTGGTCGGGCTTGCCTAACGTGACGAAGCAACCAAGCTATACTAGCTATAACAATTGTTCCTCAAGATCCTATCATGCTTGACAGGTCAGTTAGAGAGTGGTAAGACTAAAAGCAACAAACCCAAAGTCCAAGGGCGAAGTTGTACTGCTGACTGTACCGAGGTGTGACAGCAGTAAGGTGTTTCCTTCAGACAACCAGCATGACAACGATGCTGCCTTTCCATAAGGAGGGGTAGGGTTAGAAAAAGACGATCCTTAATATGCACATCTCGCCTTATCTCACGGATTTCCGTCTCCGACGGTAAGGTCTCAACAAGTACAGAGCTAAAACGTAATCTAATCAAAAAAAGGTCGTGTGTGACCGACTTCAATCAGTTGTCCCTTTGGGCACTGTGGTCACACTCTCAGGTCGCTCTCGGTGTGGGCGACTGGGAAGTGATAACCGCCCTCATACCTCTAACAGTACTCAAGACTGCTGACTGGCTGATATATATATATATATATATATATATATATATATATATATATATATTTGTGAAATCAATCTACTTTCATGTTTCATCATCTTCTGTTATATTCACATTTATGATTTTATTTGCTCTTTTTTTTTTTCTCAATAGATGGTATACTTACTATGACACAAGATGTAAAGAATACAGAATATGTTTTTTTAATTTTCACATGTTCATATCGTTTTGGTCGTGATGATTTAGATGTATTAGGATTAACATTTCAAAAAGAATTATTAATTTATACAAAATGTTTATGGCCAAATCATCCATTTGATAATAATGATTATAATAAAGGTAATAAAAAATGGAATAATACATGGAAAAGAATAAAACGTTTATCAAAACGTAAAATTGATACAAATGAACAAATTTCATGTACAATAACAAATGATAATGATCCATATGGAATATTTTGTGAAACATTAAAAGAGAATGATTTATCACCATTTCAAGTAAAATTATTAAATAAACATGGTGATTTAGCATTTCCATTTCGTATAATTGTAAGTTATAATGATTTAGAATTGATAATTTTGTTAGAAAGAGGTAAGGGTTTGTATGTGAATATTATAGTTATTTAATAATTGAATTCATGAATGAATTGAAGTTAGATGAAGATGAAAAACCTGAATGTAATTGATGGTCGTTTGATTCTAGTGTGATATTCTTCAGCAATGTGCTTCTATGATCTTACACATGAAATTCTAATCCAGGACTGTATTATTTGTTTAGAACTGCATTAACATATGAATGATCATTTTATAAAATAAAAATTAATAAAAGAAGAAGGATTTTGTGGATATTATAGTAATTTAATAGTTGAATTCATGAATGAATTAAAGCTAGATGAAAATGGAAAGCCTGGATGTAATGGACGGCTGTTTTCTTGTGCTGTGGGACTCCTTATTAATGCGTACCAACGATTCTGTAGCCGTACAATACTTCTAGGTTTTCCATGATGGTCAAGCTTTAATTGACTCATGAACTGAACTATTAAATTTTGTATGTAAATAAATGGGGGAAGAGAATTGTCGATATTTGATTGTGTATTAAAGACAAACCTGTAAGCAATGGACGGTCAGTTCCATGGTCACTGCTAAAAAGTCTCATACTAGGACAAAACGGTCATCCAGTACTACCAGGTTTTCCATGATGGTCTAACTTTAATCGACTAGTGAATTAAACCATTGGATTACTTTTATTTCTTTTTTCAAATTTTACATATAGAATTAATATCAGAAGGGGGTTTTTGCCGATATAATAGTAATTTCAATGGATGAGATCATAAGTCGATTGAAGCTAGACTACCATGGAAAACCCGGATGTAATAGACGGTTGTTTCATCCTAGTATGATACTCCTCAGTAGTGCACTTTTACAATCCTACAGCCGTCCAGTGCTTCTAGGTTTTCTATAGTGATCTAGCTTCAATGAACTCATGAACTCAACTATTAAATTTTGTATATAAATGAATAAATGAGGAAAGAGAATTGTCGATATTTGATTGTGTATTAAGGACAAACTTATTGTATTGTTATCGTATAAAGGATTTGAATAAATGAAAACATGTACTTTAAAGTATGATATAATGTCGTGAAACAATATAATACTAATTACCATTCGTTATTCATATAAAAGGAAAATGATTGACAATCTATTTATAGCCATCATGTTTTTATAGATAAATATTAATTATGCATAAGGTCATGTTCATTACTTTATAGATACATTGATGAACTCAACGAGTAATTATCTTATATCTATTGAATAAATCCACAGAAAATCTTAGATACTGGATATCATTTCAGCTGTATATGAATAATTCCTAAGATACTAGATTTAAAGATATTTACTTAAGTCCTAGATGAGATAAATCATCAATAAATTTCAAATGAAGTACAGTTTCGATGAGTTCATTTTGATGTTTCTTTTTATTCAAGTAATCTTAAGTGATAGGATATATTACAATTACTAGGTAGATACGGTTGGTATGCTACAGAGCTTAGAAAATAGATTGATTATAGAACCATTCGTTTATAATTCTAACTTATTAGTAGATATTTATCTTATGGATTAAATATTCTTTTATTGATTTAATAAACAACCAAATGTCTACTATAATGAAGATGTTCAAAAGCCTCTCATTAAAATCATGAACCTATCGACGTTAGATTACCATTCAAAACCCGGAGGCACTAGACGGCGCTTTTGTTCTGATGTGAGACTCTTCACTGCTGAGCATCTACGATCCTTCAATCGGGGATCGAATCCAAGAACTTTAGCTTCACTCATGAACCCTTAAATTCTATCCCACTGAGTCGGTATCCAACAGTCGTGGATACACACTTTTGAGAAATCCTATACTAGGACAAAATGAGCATCCAATACTTTCAGATTTTCAATAGTAGTCTAACGTTGATCGGTTCATGATTTTAATACAATCAAACAATCTTCACAATCTTATACTGATCATGCCTTCTCAATCAAAACCCAACATAATAATTATCAGATTATTTAATATTTTATGGTTTATGATGTAAAATATCTGACAATGTGAATATCATAGGGATAGCAAAAAACACAAATTATTAGGATAAACTTTGAGAGATAATATTTCAGCGTCGAAAAATGGCTAAGATATAAATGAAGAAAAAAGATGAATACAGATTAGTGTATTAGAGTGAAATAATAATAATAAGAGGGGCATTTCAGTTGGCGATGGAACAACCAGAAAGAATTCTTTCAGTTAACAAAGTTGTTTACACTTTTATGAAGAAAGTTAAAGAAAATTACAGTAGGATTGCTACTGGCTTTTACTCTAAGATATGTTTGATAACGTTTCTAGTCACTGTGTTGCACCATCTCCAGAACCCTACCCTTGGAGTTGTGAAAGACTAATATACATCAGTCCTGTACAGCATTCTTTCATACCACGACACTATGTCAACAGTGACCACCTCCCCACTTTTTCCAACCAGTCAAGTAAACAATACCAAGTCAATTTAAAATTTACCATAATTGCATAAGCAAATGTCTATCAGTACTCAGTAGCTAAGTGGAGAATGCGATGGCGTTTGAAGTGAACGGTATTAGGTTTGAGTCGTGAAGTAAACGTCAACTCTGACATGAAGGTACATTCAACTGACTTGTCTCAAATTGAACGAAACACGCATCATGTATTCCACTACTGACCATTAGCCATCTTTACTCATAATTTATTATAATTTTATTTTCATTTTGTTTATATAAGTAGTTTATCATTATAAGAAAAACAATAAAATAAGATCTTAATATTAATTATTAGTATGGGAGTTGTGGAGATTATCACTTTTTTGATTGAGATCATGAACCGAGTGATGTTAGACCACCATTGAAAACCTGGAAGTACTGGACGGACATTTCACCCTATTGTGGGACTCCTCAGCAGTGTGACCAGTGGAACTAATTCGTGTCGGGTAGAGACAGGTATCTACCGTAGTACAATGGAAGATGGTCGATCAATTTCGTGGATTGATTGATGTTATACACTAATACCATTTAATGCTGGGTCAGTGGTCCAGTAGGTTAAGCGTTCGCGCGCGTGAATGAAGGCCTTCGGTTCAAATCCTGAAGACAACACCATGGATGCGCACTTCTGAGGAGTCCCGCAAGAGGACGAAAAGACCGTCCATTGCTTCCAGGTTTCCAACGTTGGTCTAACATCAATCGGTTCATGATCTCAATTAATATTAATTATTTAGCATTACATACTCACTGAATTGCTGGTAATAACGCATCCAATCATGCTTATTACTTACTTACTTTCGCCTGTTACTCCTCGTGAAGGAGCATAGGCCGCTGGGCAATCCTTTCCAGCTCTTTCCAGTTCTTATTCATCCCTTTCATATCTGCTTCTATTTCCCGACGTAATGTGTCCTATGGCCTTCCTCTTTTCCGCTTCCCTTCAGGATTCCAAGTTAGCGCTTGTCTCATGATGCAGTTTGATGATTTCCTCAATGTATGTCCTATCCATTTCCATCGTCTTTTCCCACTTTATTTGAGCTAATAGTGATTGAAAACTGATGTTAAGTAAGAAAAAAAGAAAGAAAATTTTTTTTTTCTTTAAAGTTTTCTCCATGGCACTTAAAAGTAAAAATAAATTGTGAATAAATTAAATATTAATAATTTATTATTTTAATAAATAAAGCAATTAATAGAGGTCATAATTGATTACTTTCACTTATTAATTATATGAATGATTTATTGAATAAATGTTAATGTATATATGTATATAACACTGGCAATATAGAAACACTTAAGACTCGCGGTAACTACATTCATTTGAAGAGGTGAAATATAAAGCCAAATCTACATTTATATGGAACATATTAGAATTTCCCTATCATCCCCTCTCTTTCTCTCCATCTCCCTCCCTCCCTCCCTCCCTCCCTTCACTCTCTCTCTCTCTCTCTATATATATATATATATATATAAACAGTCACGGAAGTGGGACTTTCAAAGATTACAATTGAGAACAAAAAAAAGTGTATAAAACATGACTAAAAAGCTTTTATGAATTCGCATGAAATATCGATTGTTGAGATAATTTATTCAATTACATTCTATTTTAATTATTTATTTGAAATATTAGTAAATATTCTGTATATGTGTAATATTCCATTTTGAAAAATGATTATATGTACGTGTTATGATCGGAAATTGATTATCTGTAATTTTGATATTGGATTCTACTTATCATTACGATATGTACAAGGTATTGAAATGATATAATCATTGACATATTCATTTTTAAGACTGGCTAATTATTATGATTTATCTGTGAATCTTAGTACTGTGCCAAACCAATGATGTTCAATCAGTATGAACAACCTAACGTCCTTATTGGTTCTTTTTCCTCTTAGCCCTTCCACTTGAGTCCAAAACGCTAATAACAGCTTCCACTATGCGAATCATACTTGGTTTATATACCAGACAAACAGATCGCATCACACCATAAAATAAGAAATAACATTTATACATGATCAAGCCAAAAAGTGGCTGTGAACGTGGTAGACTTTAATCAATAAACTGAACGGTGAGACTATAATTTATGGATGACCTTGAGAGTGTACACTTAATAACTAGGACAAAATGAGGTTTATAAACCAGTATAAGCAATTAGAATTATGATTTACAGTTGATGGTTAGGTTTAAAAATTAGATTAAGTGTTTTCATCACGATCTGACATCATCTATAACGCCGAAACTCTATTAAGCCAAATGGTTGAGTGAATTTTGCACCAAAATCCGAGACCAGTTATCTTACACGTGATTGGTTCGTCCATAAATTATAGTATCGCCAACTGAATATAACTTAAGAACAGTGAATCGTATAATAACCATCTTTAGGTCAAAATGAAGCTTATAATAAGAAGAATATAGATATGCATAATTTAGTTACCGAACAGTTATAGAATAGGAATATATATATATATATATATATATATATATATATATATATATATATATATATATATATATATATATATATATAATTAGACCGTTAATAGTTACCCGTAGTTTAATCTTCACTAGAATATAAAAACAACCAACTTGTCAGAGGAATTTACACAGTCATAATTGTTTGTCAGTGAATAAACACAGCATGTATCTCACTGATTGGATTAAGATCAGAATAATTTTAAACTTTAATATATCAAAACCTGTAAACGAGATGTAATTAAATTAAATGGATTAATTTCAATAGTTGAGATCATGAGCAATTGAAGCTAGATCACCATGGAAAACCTGGAGACACTGGATAGCCGTTTCGTCCTATTGTGGAACACCTCAGTGGTGCGCATCCACGAACCCGCTGTTGGATACCGGCCTGCTCAGTGGTCTAGAGGTTAAGCGCTAGCGCGCGAGACTGACAGGTCCTGGGTTCGAATCTCAAGAGACGGGATCCTGAATGTGCACTGCTGAGGAGTCCCACAACAGGACAAAACGGCCATTCAGTGCTTCCAGGTTTTCCATGGTGATCTAGCTTCAATTGACTCATGATCTGATCTCATTAAATGGATTAATTATGATATCATATTTTATTGTTATAATCTTTAGTTTTGAATTATGCAATATTTTTTTTAAAAATACAACTGACTAATTGTTATTCGTTGTTATTTCTGAATCTATTAAATAATCTATATGATTATGTTGATTTAATGAAGGTTCGATGGATCTAAATGAGGCTTTCATTCTAATGTAATACTGATCTCAGGTTGAACAATCATTATATATTTGAATTATTTCATGGAATGACATTAATTAAACAATTATTGAAAACTATGAATTAGTGGTATGGCTCTCATATCGTAATAAGGAACTTTATAACACTGAATGTAAACAATTGTGATAAGAATTGAATTCAGAAACTGCATGTTTTATGAGCTATGGATATAGCTTAGTTCTGTTTCGTAAATTCAATCGGTTTGTGATACTCTACGTTTATTATCTATTTCGTTCTTCATACCTATTTCAGGGCCGATATATTTGATCTCTAGTAGTCTTTTTGTTAAACCATTTGGAATTGTGAAATACTTCCGGAAGTTAGTCACTTGTAAACATGTGAATTGTACAAACCTTCTATACGAATAATTTCCTGTTTTTTGCAGATTTCAGTGGAACGCACATAAAGTCATTTTCACTACAGTAAAATTTTCTATCGAACATGATAACTTCCAACTACCATATTGGAATCTTAGGATTTATAGCTTCAACTTCCGTGAATTTGTGATATGGTTCTACTAATATAGCAATCTAATAGTGTTACTAACTTTACTCAAAATAGTTGAATACATTCATATATTACTCTATGTGTTAACTTTTTAACTCCAATTTGATAAATCTTCTGACTGAACGCTTGAATCTAATAACCACAGGCTAACTCTACTCGGAAACTTGAACACAAGAGAATATGATATATATAGCATTTTACTCGGCCTTGGGCTGCTGAAAAGTTCTGGAACACCACGAAACATATTAGCAGGATATGTAATCATACAATCAGAAATGTGACAAGTGACTTCTCTTTTTCTAGATGTTTTTGAGATACTTCTATTCAATACTGATTCGACAAAATGTTTCCTAGTGCTTTAAGGGCCTCTTTGAGCTTTTTTCTAGGAATTTTAAAGGTCTCTTCAACATAATTTCATTCAACTTCACTTTTTTTCTCACCATGATGATGTAGGATACAACAGGGTGTATTGAGACACATTCTTACTGAATCTTACAAAATCTTATAGGTATTAAACTCCCATTACTATATAATCTTGATGATAGGCTTTCATGTTAGTTCCAACTTCCTCGACTTCACGGTTCTTTACCTTTCAATTGTTTTCCATATTTTTTTCTATGTTTATTCATTTATGAAGAAGGATTTTAAAGAGTAAAACTGAATGATATACTCTTTTTAAAAAATAAATTTCAATGGAAAGCAACACAATTTACTGTAGTTATTACATTCTTTACAATTGCTGCTTTCGCTAATATGAATATTATGTCATACAAGCTAGATATCATTAGTTGACATTCTTCTGTTCGTTGTTAACATATTATAATATCGAGTACCATGAATGATTACTTAAAATAAATTATTACTATTATTTGAAATTGATTTCATGAAATTGATATGATTTTTAAACAACGATAGCTTAGCAAAAATGAAAAATAGCTAGAAGTGGAATTCAGGACGCGCGTTTCGTCCAACTTGAGACTCGTTAGATGGGTGTACTCGCATCCCAGAGTTGATGTTCACTCCGGAACAATAGCTTAAATCAATTGTTGATAAGGTCTCAAAAAGAATGATTCAACGTTTTGATACCTGATTGAGTTTGATCTTTCAAATAGTTGTCAATACGACTTAAATATGATTACCAACAATTATGAAACGTTGTCTTACTGATAATTTATTTCTAGTCTTATAACAATATACATCTAAATGAAAGATAACAGATTAGTTTTGAATTTCTAAAAGGATTCCTTTACCTTAGGTTGTTACCATATACATATATCATCAATATCTAGTGAAATGCACTTTGACTAGTCATATTTTTCCAATACCATTAATAGACCATCTAATATAATCAAGGGTACAATAAAATAGTGAAAATCATTTTTATTATTCTTTACGTGCCTTTTTCCCTATTAATTGATTCATTTAGTACTTGAACATGCGCTACACGCTAAGTGTGAGCGCTAATGATATCTAAAATGAATTGGATGATGAGTGGTTCCAACATAGGACTCAGTGGTTGATGGTCATACACAATAGCCGCTAGACCACCCTTCCTTTTTTTATGAACTATTATTATTTTAATGAATTTAGCTTAATAAAAGCTTATCAACTAATGATATACATTGATACGGGATAATATGTTACTAAAATTCAGTTCTTATAGTACATATCTATCGAGACTAGTGTCATTTAGATGATATTACTTCCACTAAGTTAAACTACTTAATCATAAGGTTTACATTGTCTTTCTGCACACCATCAGTAGCATAAACTAAAGATAGAAGTAAGCTATTCAGTCAACAAGCAAATAAGGCGGCACTCTACCAAAATCATCCATCTCAGCTAAAAATTCAATTAATTTGAGTTACATTATTAATCCATGTGAACTAATGATAGATTCCTTTAGGGTAACAGCCTAAATATTACATCCTTTCTGAAAGATAAAATACTATTTTGGGTTAAGATTCATTTATTTAATAAATAACTATGATAGAAATTGTATTCACAATTCCTTGTATATCATCAGTACTTTTTTCATAGAATAACATTCATTTATAGTTGATAAAATTTTCTTCATTTTCATTTATATTCTAATGATTTCAGATACCTACATCATCACCGTCATCAGTTGCGATTCAACCGAATGAAAATGATTCTCGAAAAGTAACAATTTTAAAATCTTTATCATATTATTTCATAATGTATTTTGTGTATATGGTATAGGGGTAGATAAATCATCAGGTTCAAGATGTTAATTTGAAAAGTTAATGGAGATCATTTACATGATTTAGCTATTGGAATTCCGATAACAGTTTCTCTACTATACTATAGTCTAGTGTCCTAGGCTTTGGTCAATGATACATTAACACCGACACTATTAACCTTGAGTGAAGGTTAACATACGCTTTATCTCTTCTGTCTCGTTGATTTTCTGCCTTGAGTCCTAAAGGAAAATAAAGCAACTAAGCTTCTAGCATTATTATCTGAAACACTGACGGCTCTATTTACAGGCAAACCAATCTATATGACATCATAGTATACACAACCATGCCAAAAGTAGCAGTGAAAATGGATAAGATATAGACAATGGATTATAAGACATATAGCATTAGTTAGTAGTTCAACTGGAGGCTAACAGTAAACGGAATATAAGAACATAGTGATCCAGCTATTTATTACATATTTAATAACAGTTCATAAAATAGTTTCGAGGGTTAGCATTTCTTCAACCTGGATTATGCTACATTATGCAGTATAAATGAAATGGAAATACTTACTTCGTATTGGATATTTTCAAAATAGTTTAATAATTATGTATGTACGCAAAAAAATTTTCTTTAGTAGACTCACTTGTGAAATTTATAATAATAGATGTTGACAAAATAAAGGAATAAACGTTGACTCATGGTAAAATTATAATTCATGAATAGCATTAGAGCGATGCTAAATCGATATTGAAAATATTCACCTACATGCTAGGGATCAATAGAGGGTTATAGATTAATTTAAGGAATTAGGATTCGGATTTAGGGTTATAAATTAGAATGAGAAGTTTTATCACGAACAGACGTCAACTCTAATGACAAAATGCTATTCAGCCATACAGATGATTAAACTTATAGACCAGAACTCAAGGCTTACTATCTTTAATTCTATTGGTTCATCCATAAGTTATAGTCTGGGTCTACCCGCTAGTTATTCATTGAATAAAATAGACATCTATAACCATTGCATCTAATCTGGCTGATGTAAGAGAGTCAATCGAGGTTTAATGGTTACAATATTTGAAAAAATGTTTGCTCACAAACCACAATTTAAAAAATCATTAGCTGTCAGGATTGAAGAAACAGACCTCTAAATATAAAATGACGGTAATTTTTAGCGGGAAATAATAACAATGTCCACTATTATCACCTCCATAAAGATTGCATAACAAAACTACTTGATGCAATACGGATAAATTCTTCCATCTGGTTTGGTTTAAGATACAAGAGAAATGCTTAATTGTTCCACAGCTGGTTATAATTCATGATGAGTTCCAATTTTATACGTAAACACGTTTTCTTACAAGTAATTTTCAAATAGAGTGAAGCGAAACATTTGTTTTAGTTTTAATGACTTCAAATGAAAACTGTAATAAAACCGCTTGATATATTTGAGCGTCAGAGGGCTAAGATTATTTGGTTTCTTTGATACTACCCGTGAGGATACTGTTCTAACTCATATTTCAGAAATACCTTTAGCTGTCATCTGATTTGGCTGTTCCCATTTCTATCTTGATAGTTTCGTTGTGTCGCAAAGTCACTGGATGTTATTATATCGACAGAGCTGTTTTATTTCAGTTTTCGACTTATGTTCAGAATAAAACATTATTCTGGAAATCACATATTGAATTCTTGATTGTTAACGTTGAAGTGTTGTGGTTTCATTCTCTGTTTTATTGAGTCTGCCACAGAATATATATGTATTAGAATAAAATTAGTTATTCTGTAATTAGCAAATGCCATAGGCCTATTATAGAGCCTCAATCTCAAGATATACCAATAATTCACTTTCATTTCTATTATCATGTCAATCAGAATAGGTTGTAAATAATAAGTCTTCTAGTTGAACACTAGATTCGATTTCTAAGCTCTTCCAGTAACCCGCAGGCTAAATCTGCTTAGCAACGTGAACACGAGAGAAAAGGTGCGAAATATGAAACAAAACGCTTTACTCTAAAGGTTCGTTTATGTACAGAAAATCTAGAGATTTTATTGTATTTTAGACGTCCTTGGGTTTCCGGAAAATTCTGGAACACTCCTAAACATAGTAGCAGTATAGGTAATCATCCAATCAGAAACTCTACATGTGATTTTTCACTTTCTAGATGTTTCTGGCAAAACGTCTAGTGAATGCTGATTGAATAAGATGCTTTTCAGTGTTTTCAGAGCCTTTGTTGACTTTTTTTCGAGGAGTTTTCTGGATATCCCCAACAGTAAACACGTAATATCGTTTATTAACATTATTGATTGGTATTAACTTACAGTCTCTAAGATAACTTCAATCTTTACGTAGTAATTTCAATTCGTTCCTTAAAAAAATAATCAGTATTACGTAAATTAATTTATATTTCTGTGAAGAAAAAAAACATTTTATACGTGAACAATGACTGTAATCTCTCATTACCTTATGACCAGTTTCTCTTTTTCTATCCCTAACTTTATATATATATATATATATATATATATATATATATATATATATATATATATATATATTTGTATTATACGTATCATACGTTAACTATGGCTGACTAATTCCAAGAGTCTGACTTTAAATTAATTGACAATGAATGATCCATACCACTTATTACCTTTGTTAAATAGCTAACATTTTAATGACGTATTGTATTTATTGAATTGGGATACAATTAAAACGCTTAAAGCGTTAATCATATATACCCAAATACATAGAATATATCAGAAAGATTTTTATGGATATTTTAGTAATTTTAATAGTTGAGATCATGAGTCAATTAAAGCTAGATCACCATAAAAAACCTGGAAGCACTAGACGGCCGATTCGCTCTATTGTGGGACTCCTCAGCAGTGCGCCATCCATAATCCCGACTCTGGAGATTGGAACCCAGGAGCTATCAGTCTCGCGCGTGAGCGCTTAACCACTAGACCAATCCGCAACAAACAATTCACATACAATATAGACAAAGCTGGACGGTCACGCAATATCGTGTATTGGTTGATGCTAGACATTAACACCGTTAGATGCTGACTCAGTCGTCTAGAGGCTAAGCGTTTGCCCGCAAGACCGAATGTCCTGAGTTCACGTCTCACGTGTGTGATCGTGGGTACGCACTGCTGAAGAGTCCTATACTAGGACGAAATGGCCGTACACTACCCCCAGGTTTTCAATGCTACTCTGACTTCCATCCATTCATTATATCAATCTAAACTCAATGATCTTCACAGCCCTATACATTTTTAAATGTTTAATGAAAACTACATCGTAATAGTTAATATTCACTGAAAGTTACACTGAGTAATGCTTAATTGGCAAACATAATCATTGTTTTGCATCAATCTCAATACAGAATTTTATATGCACATAGTTTATGAAAATTTTAACTTTAATAAATCATAATAAGGTCGGAATCACAACAGATGTCAAACACAATCTCAATACGAAATGAATATATCAAGAAAAAGTAAAACAAAGACATTTGAGCCAAACAATATTTGTTTTTATTGAACATTACTTTATTAACTAATCAGCTGGTAATATTAATATCATTCAATAATCACTACAAACACCACATACTGAATATTATTATATTCGCAGTGGTCATTAATTAAGTGAAGGTAATTCCAATAATCTACAAAGAAACAGTGATCAATCGAGTACAACTATGTCAGATGTGAGACAGTTATCCTTTGAACACAATTTAAGATGATCATGCAATATCAAAAATTGACTTAAGTTAGAAATGTAAATCACTAGATGAGAACTGTCGTGATAAAATCAAACGTCCTATTTTCGATCTGAAGTGGATTTGTGGATGGATATTGTTGAGTAGTTCGATGGTAGGACAAATCAGATAACCAGAACTTCCAGTGATTATCTACTTTAGGCACATACTTAATCTCCGTATTATCACTTAGATTGTTTACTCTACTGAGAATCAATTGTTTCAATTTTAAAAAATATGAAATAAACCTTGATTTTTCAACAATTATCCTTTAATTGTTATTCTACAAAGAAAAACGTTTATTCATTACAGAGGAAGAATATATTTGTAAAATCTCAGAGAAAGTAAATTCAACGTTACGCCTTGAAAAACCTTGGACCAGATTGCCAGGTGAAATGTTGGATTTACTTTAAATTCTTTCACTGTGATTTTACAAATACAATATTCTTCCTCTTTAATGTCTCACATAAACTTGGTGCCCAAATACTGTGAAACTATTCCATCAGTTTTCCTCTGTATGTTATTCACCAATTCAATCTTATGGATAAACTATATGAAAAGACGATATCTTCTATCATAAATGCTTGATTGTTTCAATCCCCTATTTACATTAGCAAAGACCTAAACAACATTTTGTTTTAAAATAATCTATTATTGATGAATATAATTTTTTTTCAGCTGAATAAATTTACTTTAACAGAACAAATTTTCTGTTCTCTGGACAATAGAGAACAAAGACTTTTGTTTGTCAGTAATATGAAAATATTTAACACTCAATATAAGGTAAAAATTGACCCAAGGTTTTTTATTTCGATTGTCTTAAACATCAAAAGAAATAAATCGATAAGTGAAATTCTATCAGCTTTATCTTATGTAAATAAATGAAAATATTTTAGGCTAAATAACAATTAGAGAACAAGTGTATTGTTGCCGAGATCTAATAATGATAATAACGAATAGTTTATATCCATGGGTTGATTGTTACATATGTGATACAACCTGAACATTACTCTTTCCTCATAATCCTCCTATAACGCCCTCATAAGAGAGGTGGAAAACAAACCAATTGATTATAAGTAATTTGTGATAATATGATTTCATAATTTGAAGTTAGATAGTAACGCCATTAGATGATGGTTCAATGGTTTTGTAGTCAAGTGTTCACACACACAAGAACATAATTTTTGGGTTCAATTTCTGGTCGTATAGTCGTTGATGTACTCTGCTGGAAGGCTTCATACTAAGACGAAACTATAGTCCAGTTCTACCAGGTTTTCAATGGTGGTCTAAGAAAGATTAATTCGCGATTTCCCAAACCCTTTATTTTAGCAGTAATGAAAGGCATAAAATAAATCCTCTAATAATATAAAATTAGTAATCTAATGAATAATTATTCACGTATGACTTTTCCATCATCTCTAATCAAGTGCATGTACAAAAAATGATTCCAATGCCCTGATATTAATCAGTATAAGGTTATGGGAATTGTTAATTTTGGATTGATATCATGAATGCATCAATGTCGGACAACCACTGAAAACCTGGAAGCTCTGGACAGCCGTTTCATCGTAGTATGGGATTCCTCATGTGCTCGATAATGAATAACTTCAAGTCGAATTCCCTGGAGTTCTAGTGCGAAGCCGCCACCTGTGGAGTCCAGTCCGTGTCGGGTGTGAGACAGTTATCTACCTCAGACAATAGATGAAGGGTCATGCAAAATCATGGATCGCTTAAAGTCAGACATTAACACTGTTAGTTACCGACTCAGAGCTCTAGAGATTAAGCGCTCGTGCATGAAACTGAAGGTACTTGGTTTGAATCCAAGGTGCAGGATCGTGGATGCACACTACTGAGAAATTCCATACTAGGACGAAACGGCCGTCCGTCGCTTCCAGGTTTTCAATGGTGGTCTAACATTAACCCATTCATGATATCAATCTAAGCTCTGATAACATTACATCATGACCAATCATTTACCTGGGAAATAAATAATTAAACTTTATGCTGACATACGTATAGATTTCAGGGATATGCTTGAAGACATTAACATTTAGTTTAGTTAACCAAATCTCTATTTTTGTAAAAGTTTGCACACCTCCTCTTATTAATCTCACCATTAAAATGGTCTATACTTTCATTTAACATTACTGTATTAAAGATCACATTCATAATGGTCAATATATAAATGTAACGTTATTTTCTTTTCTATTCATTACACTTGTCGTCTGTGTACTCTTATATGACTATTTATCCTTGTTTGTAGATAATTTTTGTTATTTTTCATCACTTAAAAAGATCTTTCCGTGTGACTATAATTTATTGACGACCTTCGTCCGACGCTAAACTGACCATGAGAGTGTCCACCTAATAACTAGAACCAAATGAGGGTTATAAACCTGTGTGAGGAATTATAATGATGATTTACAGTTGATCACGGTTAAGGTTAGTGTTTTCATTACGAACTGACATCATCTATAATGCCAAAACTCTATTTAAGCACATAGATGAGTGAATTTTGCGCCAAAATTCGAGACCTGTTATATTATACCTGATTGGTTTGTCTGTAAATCATAGTCTTGCCGATCTTTCTGATTATTTTGTCATTTTTTTAATTTTATATCTACTTTCTTCAATTCATTTGAACATATCAATGACACTATACTTAATTCATTTTTCTATTGGTTGTTCAAATCTCATCATTGATGTTTAGGACTGTGATTAATCAGTTTCTTATTGGCATGTGTGCATTCAATGCGAATCGCCTTGATATTGCTTTAAGTCACAAGCATTATAGGCAGAGATAGATGGTGACTATCAGTGGAATCCATGACTATTACTGATTGTTGAAATAAATAAAAATAACTCAGAACTTGTAAACCATTAACTAACTTACTATTAGTTGATTATTATTATGAAGATGAACCGAACTAAGATATCCACTGAAATACTGAAAGCATTGAGCATCTGTTTAGTCTATTGATCATGACTTCTTAGTAGAATATTGGAACTATCTTCACTAAATTAATTTCTAGTTAGTATATGATAATATTCTGTATATGATGTTTGTAGAAATAATTGAATATTATTGAAATCATGAATTATTATAGTAAAAGATTATACATTTTAACTTGAATTACAATTCTTGATATAATACTATTCATATCAGAAGACGTTTTGTGGATATTATAGTAATTTTAATAGTTGAGATCATGTGTCAATTGAAGCTAGATTACCACGAAAAACCTGGAAGCACTGGACGACCTTTTCGTCCTAGCGTGTGACTCCTCAGCAGTGTGCCATTCACGATCGCGCCTCGCAAAATTAACTGTTAAAAATTGAACGGTGTATACAAGATTTACTCCTTTAAGAACAATATATTTTTTGTACTAAATTAAAACTTGACTTCATTATGTTGATTCAAGATGAAATGGATTTCAAACCTTTTTCTAGAAGTAAATCCTTTAGCTTTCAATAAATCTTTCTGTTTTCTATACATTGGAAGTATCGTTTACCGCTTTCTGATTAGTTGTGTTCAGTAAATATGAAAGAACATATTCTATTTTATGTATATTATTACAAGGCAAAATATAATACTTATAATCTTGTAGTAGATAGCTCCATGTCAAGCCCAAAGAGCTTATTCTAGATTCCGGATAGATCAATTTATTCATTCCTCTTAAATCACTTTTAACCTTGTTAATTATTCGTTTCGCTCCGTTTAGCTTTTGCATTGCCATGCTTCACTTCGTTTCGAAATGACTATAAATATTGAGTAACGCTTAAGTAAAGTAAGTTGGCTAACATACATTCTGCAATCCTTTTCGTTTAGCATTCTTCTGTTTGCCATCTTTACTTCGATTCTTCGATCGTCTCTCTGGATCAATAGTTGTACAAAATATACGTATTCGAAGTCCATTCTCGCATTTAACTTATCTAATTCTGTTATTCCCTAACGCGATTTAAACTGATGATTATATGTGAAGGTTGTTGACATACATAAGTTGATAACGATAATCATACGATCAAACTAGAGTCAGATATTACAGGGCTACTAAAATCTAAATATAGGAGTTCTGTCTTAGTATTAAAATGAATTACTAAACCTCTTAAACACATGTCTTAAATTAAGTATTGTTAACCGATTTCATCTAATTATAATGGGTGTTTAATGCATTGAAATGATGATTTCAGTTCATTTCAATTATTGACTATATTTCAGAATATGGTTTATTAAATTACATAAAGTAATTAGTGTAACTAATGCATTTTACCAACAGTAGGTTACTTGTAAATAAGGTCATATATTCATTCAACATAAGTTCAGGTAATAAGAGAAATAATTTTCATATATAACATCACATAATAATCTTAGTTACATTATCAAACAAATCCAGGAAATACCGGAAAGTTGTTTCATCTTGGTATGGAATTTATCGGCGGTATACCTCCACAACCCCATCTCTCACTAAACTCAAGCCCTTTAGTTTCGAGTACAAGCAACTGATCTCTAGACCACTTAACTAGAATATCACGAATTGATTGAGTTTAGAGATTTTCACGATTGAATTCTGACTGAAGTTGAACGCTAGATTGAAATAGTGATAAGATGCTTCCTAGTTATCAATGGTGGTCCATGCTGTAAATCATAAAACATCTAATAATTTCTACTAAATGTCTTTGTATGTATGAAAAAATGACAGTCACATATTACTTATCAATTTTAATACAGAATAGATTTTGATGTCATTTAATAATCAGTTATTACAATGGGAATTAGAATTTCCGCCAATCTGGATAACTACAAGCTGTGTTAAGCTACAAAACATCCATCTATGATGATGTAATAAAGTCAATATCATAAACAATTGTTTATTTTTATTTTGCATTCATTTATAATATGGACTGAAATGATTAATACCTTCTCATTATACATACGCCTGTAGCAAATGAAAGATTTATCTAATTAAAAATATAATACAATTGAATAATTCTATCTTGTAAACTCTCTTCGTTGATGTAGAGAATAAAATAATTTTTTAATAGTTGAATTCATGAGTCAATTTAAATTAAACCACTATTGAAAATCTCGAAGCCATGAACGGATGTTTCGTCCCAGTATGGGACTCCTCAACAGCATGCATCCACCATCCCGCATGTTGGCCTCAAACCCAGGACCTATGGTCTTGCGCTTAAACGCTCAACCTATTGACCACTGAATTATCTAACTTCGACTCATGAATTCAATAATTAAAAAATTACTACAATTTCCACAAAACCCCATTCTGAAAAAAAAAACATTCACATAGTTTCCACTAATATTACAATAACAATGTTCTTATGTGTTTGTTTTTGATCAGTTAATTGAATTTCTTTCGTAACAATAATTATATTGAAAAGAACTGATCTGGGTTTTTCACATGCTTACCATTCTTTCTACTTACATCTCCTCGCTTTGTCTTTGTTACTTCGATATATATTTTTTTTCTAGTTATACGGTGTCAGTTATGCACTGACTGCATACGCTGGTCAGAAAATTCATAGCACTCAACCGACTAGGTATGTTACTTGGAATAAATCACTAGTGTTTTTTTTATCCAATTTAAATATTTTGCCTCCAGAAACAATACTGTAATGGTTAATTTGATTGATTAGGAGTTAATCTTCTTTACAGATTAGTAATAATGTAACTGATTCACCTAATGAAGGTTTATATACACACCAATGATCCAAACTAATTATTTTTCTGAAGTTTAAAAAATCTGGGTGTGACTATAATTTATGGACGAACTTCCAGTGACGCCAAACTGACCTTGAGAGTGTCCACCAAATAACAAGGACAAAATCAAGGTTATAGACTAATGTGAAGAATTAGAATTATGCTTTACAGTTGATGGTTAAGGTTATAAATTAGATTTAAGGATTTCATCGCGAACTGATATGAGTTATAATGCCAAAACTCTATTTAGCCAAATGAATGAGTGAATTTCGCACCAAAATCCGAGACCAGTTATCTTATACCTGATTAGTTCATCCATAAATTATGGTCTCACCAACTAGTTACCGCTGTAGAATTTTTGAAAAACAAAACAGGACGGATCAAAATGTAACTTGGTATAAATATATCTATATTCAGGTTCTACGCTATGAAACATGAAATAATTCGATCATTTTTAGTGTAGGTAAACATTCAATTACATAATCGGCACTCTGGAAGTTTACATTTTTGAGTTAAGCCAATTTGCGGCATTGTATAAATATCGTCTAATTTTATTGATACACCTTCCAATCAACCAGAATTTAAAAATAATTCATTTATTGAATAAACGCTTATTACTATTATGGTGTGTGCTACTGATGTCGACAGATATAAGTAGTACATATCCTCAATTAAAAGTGAAATATCTGTTGGTAGACGGTTGAGAAGATTGAAGAAAAGATAATGAGAACAGAGAATGATTGGTGTGGAACAATAAAGTCTGAGACGATTGATTGACATTTTGCAAATGAAGTATTCAGATTAGAAACGAAAATTGTTTATAATCATAAATGATTGCCTAATTAATTCTCTTATATTACACACATTATTTAATAGAGAACTACTTTTTAAAAAGATTCCTTGTTGGTGTTTAGGAATAAGTTAGTAAATGGGAACATGAAAATCACTGTGAATGACAAAATAAATGACTCCTGATGAACAATCTTATGGCTTTTGTGACGCTCTGGTTGTTAAAGCGATCTTCCTGATTCAAATCTTAATATAAACACAACCATTCGAATATTGTCACTTCAATGAGAGATATAGTAAATCTGGGACAATTATAAGAGGGTTGGTTTAAAATAGATAAAACCAGAGCCGTTTGCTTCAAGCACTGTCGTGCAATTCACTTAGCTACCGAGTCCAGATAGCCGCCTCACTTATACAATGAATACGAGCTTTAATCCAATTTGAAATGTTTTGATTATCCTGCTGTTCATAATTTGACTTAAATTTGATCGGTCTTGATTGACATATGTACATTCTGAGCGTATTACCTCAATACAGACATGATGACATAATTTAACACAGAATAGATAGCATATGGTTAACTGTGAAATCCAGAATGTACGTTTCGCCCTATTTATGACTCATCAGCTAGATGTACCTGCCTCTCAGAGTTGATGCTGCTAGCCACATTTCATTAGTTCTGCATAAACGTATGTCATTATTGGCCATATCAAAGCGATCCTAAAAGAATAAAAATGCATCAACCCAAACTTATCAAATTTCAGTCAAAACGTATCAACAATGAGATAATCTAAATCATTTCAAATTGAATTAATTCTATAAGATTACCTATTATGCAAATTATTTAACTATCTAGTTATAGTATTCTCATGCCTTTTAATATGTTTGCCTATTCTTGATTACATTCTAGTTCCACTGTAACAATTGTTCTAAGAAGATATATTGCTGGACCTAAACTGATCAATCGTCCGTTATATCCAGTAGCTGAATCAACTAGAAAAACAATAAATTTCTTATGTTATTCAGGAGAAGTGCTTCTTACAGCGTCTGTTGAAAAACCAGTAAATATTATCTTTTATATTCCATTACTTTAAAGTAATGTAATGTTTAAGAAAATATGGATAGTGGCTAGCCGTGGAATCCATGACGCGCTTTTCGTCCTATTTGGGTCTTATCAGCTGGATGAACCTGTATCACAGAGTTGATGTTCATTCCGGGACTCGAACCCATTACCGTTTGCTTCAAACGTCATCACGTTATCCACTTAGCTACGGAATGAACATCAACATCCGGCTGACGAGTCCCAAATAGGGCGAAAAACGCGTCCAGCTAGATTCTACTGTTAGCCACAATCCATCTTCGCTTAAAAAGCTCGTGACTTAAGACTATATCGAAGCAATTCGCACACGATGCATAGATGCCAATGAGAGACTGATCAATTGCAGTCCTAAATAACAATGGGAAGATACAAGTAAAACAACACCAAGTGAAATTAATGTAATGTTTATTTTCTAAAACATCACTCAAATACCAAGTAAACAATAACCTATTTATTGACATAAGACTATATTTTATAAGTAAATCTGAGAATCAATGTTTTTATTTCATTTTGAGCAAAATCAGGTGAATCATTCATCTTAGTCTTAGTAAATTTATTTCCTACTTATTTAATCTAGGTCATAATTTTCATATTATGATATAAAGACAAGGTTCGAAGGTATTAGAAACAATTCATCCATGGAATATTTAACATCAACTGGGAATAAATTAATATTAACAACTGTACTCAAACTAACACTATAGTGGCTGTCAAAAAATGTTTCTTGTCACGGCTTGAACTATAGATTTCAAAAGAAGCTATTGATTTCTTTTAGTGAATGCTGACATTTTTATCTAAACCAGTTCATTATCTTCTATAAAAAAATCTCTTACTAAAGAGATTAAATCAAACTAAATAGTTATATTACTTTATGAATAAAAACAGTTGTTTATTGATTGATGATTCAGTCAGTCAGTCAGATACAACGCAGGACATGATACATATATGCATCGGTCTAAGTTGCGACACCTCATTAACACAACAATATGAACACCAAATTCATAGAAGTAGTTACTTCAATGGTAGTAATATATGAAAGTAAGATTGTGTCTAAGGATGTAGTACAGGAAGAAAGACGTAGTTGATAGAAAGAATGATATAAAGCAATTTTAATCTCATAGTTTAAAATAAGAGAGAGTTTGTATACACCTACGCCATTGTGATCGATTCTGAGCCATTTCACCCAGAGTCTCCAACTATTGGTTATGACAGTCACGCGGACTCCAACCAAGTAGTCTGCATCTACCAACATGGCTACGACTAGAAATTAGTGACTTTATGAACTGATGTCACGTTTTTGTTTGGCTACCCCTAACTTTCTTCCATCTGTCTACAACACTGGTTAGCATTGCGTGTCGTGGTAATCGGTGTTGCTGCTACATTGACGTAGTGGTCGGGCTTGCCTATCGTAATGAACCAATCGAGCTATACTAGCTGGAAGAATTGTTCCTCAAGGTCCCACCATACCAGGCAGGTCGACTGAAGAGCTGCAAGACTAAATGCAGCAAACTCAAGGTCCGACGGCGAATTCGTACATCTGACTGCACAGAGGTGTGACGGCAATATGGTGTTTTCACCAAACAACCAGCATAACAGCGATGTTTGCCTTCCCACAAAGAGGTGTGAAGTTAGACAAGTTCGACTCTAAGAATGCACATCTTGCCTTAGCCCATGAATTTCCGTATTTGACGGTAAGGTCTCAACAAGTACGGAGCTAACACGAAAATTACTCACTGAAGGTCGTATGTGACCGGCCTCAAGCAGTTGTCCCTTGGGCACTGTGGTCACGCTCTCAGGTCACTAAGACCAACTCTAATCCAATTTCCTTTTCAGGTACCTCCAGAAGTACCCTTTCACGGTGTGGGCAACCGGGAAGTGATAAGCGCCCTCATATATCTGACAGCACTCAAGATCAATGTATTCACATATGATGGTTAGAATTAAGTGATCCATTCTTAACTACACATGAGAATGATTTGTAACTCACTACGCAATCTAGTATTATAATCCTTCTATTACGTCATCTTAGTTATTCTTTATTCACATTTCCTCATGGAACTAGTACAGCTTGATGATAAATTTGTTGAAAATAAGTCTAAATAAACTGTAACGGATAGATGATCTCATTTTTGAATAGATGTTTAAATATCAAGGAATCAAGGAAACAAGTTAATTTTTGAAATGATGGAGAAGATTCGTAGTTCAGGTGGATGATTTTGATAGAGTATTATTCTCTGAGCTGAATAGTTTGGTGATGGAGCTTTCATCATTCTTCTGAACAACATCATCTACTTGAAGTTTATGCTGATGATGTCGTTCAGAAGAACGATGAAAGCTCCACGATCAAACCATCCATCTCAGAGAACAAAACTCCATGAAAAATAAGTTGATTATTTTGATCACTTTCATTATGCATAGTATACATAATACAAAATATCTATTCTCTATTTTTTTTTTACATCTACATTTTACAGTTATATTATCATGATGAATCAGTCAATGTATCAATTGTATTGGATAATTTTTCTAATTTATCAGTTAGAAAATTACAAATAGAAAGTATGTTCATCAATTTTATTTATGTATTGAATAAACTTGCGTAGTAATATTATCACTTTCTACCTTCCACATCCCCGTCAACAAGAAAAACGATTAGTACATGTACTTCAAACAACAGATCTGTAGTCTTCAAACTCTACATGTGGAAACAGCATGAAAAATATCTCCAGAATTGAATTTTAAGAAAGTTTAAAGAATCTGGTTATAAACTAAATCTCAATGAAATATTATTCAAGCGATAATGGTATATTCATTTGTATGTTTTAATAAATTAAATAGAACCTACCAAATGGCATGATTGAATTAGTATCCGTCCTTTGTTTTCTTAAAAGTCATATATAGAATGTAAACGGTTATTCTACAAAAGTAAAATCACTCTAAATATATTAGTCTTTTTCTGATAAACATTTTATTATTTTCTTTAAACTTACATTATTATCGTTTAATATATTCCCATCAGATACTAAGTAAATTTGAATAATCATTGATACTATAAGACATCGAACAGTTGTTTTTGCTTATGTGTTCTCATAAAAGCAGACAATAGGGATAAATTATACCTTCAGTCCTAATGGTAACCTATGGTATTAATCTAATTGGAATTTAATCAGTGAATCACTGATTATATTTGTTTTAAGATAAATGCTCTGGTACGGCCAGGAGTGAGGAAAGTCAGCCCTACCTCTCCAAATGCTGTCATATGGCCACGTGTATACAGCCAGTACCAGGGAAGTCCCACCCACTGCTTTTTCGCATCAAGGGTTTTGTTTACGAGATTGAGAGGACGAAAAAGGAATGTCCAGCGCTTTAACCGAATTAGTGGATGTAGACGATCTACTTACGGGAGTTGAGAAACCCTGATTCCTAATCAATGGACACATCAGTTCTAGGATTCTTAGGGAAGTATGAACCTATTGTTGGTCACTTGATACCATGGGACTACATTTCCTGAAGTTGCTTCACTGCCTTATGGATTAGACCTCTAGGTCAAAGGCTCAGGGTGTGGCCCTCTAAGAAAATCACCTGCTTCGATTTAGGTACCCAGGCAGTAACTCAGTCGTCACACAAATCGAACGGTTTATGCTGCACATATCTATTTGGTGCCTCCCTGCGCCAATGTTTATGTGTTTAAATAAAAAAATAAATTGTTTTAAGAAAATTCTGTATAATAATTGAGCTTTAAAATATTAAACCTCAGAATTTCATCTAAATTAGTCATTGGTTTTATGTAAACCACATGATCTAAAAAGGGTTTAGAGCTGGAATTAGTTGTAGTTGGTCTGTGACAATAAGAAAACTAATCTGTCTAGGTCTCTATATTCTTTCTTCAATAATTTCTATGCTGATTGCATCTTGGATTAAGTGCTTTTTACTGAACTGTAATATTGATCGTACAATATATTCAAGGTTTTATAATGACTGGTATGATTTATATGTTTATTATTTATCTTAGTATCTTAATGACAGTTTTCAATTAATAATTATACTAAATAATTTTTTCAAGTTATATCTTTGTTAAACAGTTGCTATACCCAATAGATATTAGTATGACCAATGCATGATATTATACATACAGAAAGATAACATTTATATTCTGGTTTTAGTCCATTGCTTTACCTTCAATATAAACTGTTAGAAAGATTCAAATCTTTTATTAAACAGTTGTTCAGTAAACCTGAACATTCAATAATTCCCCAATTGATATCTTTAAATGATAAAGAATAAACTTTGTGCAAATTATAATTAAGATTGATATCATAAATGGATCAGTGTTAGATTATCACTGAAAACCTAGAAGCAATGGACTGTCGTTTCGTGGGACTAGTCGGCAGTGCACATCCATGAATACACACTTGGGACACAAACTCAAGATTCTCGGTTTCTCACGTGAACTTATAGCCTTAAGACCATTGAGCTGACATTCAACAATTTGATGTTTAATTTCAATCGATCGTTGATCTTGCACAACCCTTCATCCACTGACTAGGTTCAAGGTGGGTTCTCTGGATCCCTATTGAGAAGTGATAATCAGTGAAGTTTAACTGGTGTCGAGTGTGAGACAGTTATCCGTCTCAGACAACGGATAAAGCATTGTGCAAGATCATGAATCGACTGAAGTTAAGCATTACTCCTGTTGGATACCAGCTCGGTGGTCTAGAGCTAAGCGTTCACCCGCGGGATCGAAGGTTCTGAGTTGGAGGCCCACGTGTGTGATCGTGGATGCAAACTATCGAGTAGTCCCATACTAGTGAAAAACGATGGTTCATTGATTCCATGTTTTTAATGGTGATCTAACATTGACCCATTCATGAAATTAATCTAATCTCAACAATCTCCATAATCCTATACTGATAAATTATAATTGTTATATCTAATCACTAATGAATCACATAATAAATGTAGAGTATTGTCAAACAAAATTAATAGAAAAGAATGTATAGTTTCAGATGGATGATTTTGTGAACTAAACAACACAGAAATATAGGTAACCAATGATTGAATCTACTGGGGAATTTTATTCTTTTCAAAATCATATGTTTGTAAAGATGTAATATAGATTAAAATATTTCATGGCTGAAGATATTATTGCTTTGACCATAATTCTTCTTCTTCATCATCTTAATCTTCATCATCATCATCATCATCATCAGCAGCAGCAGCAGTAGCATTATTTTAATATTCTAAAAATATTCTTAAAAAATCACGAACTGGTCTAACTCATACAACTATGAAAAACCAAGAAGCACTGCATAGCTATTTTGTCCTAGTATGGTTATCCTCTACAGTATGACTCCTTGATTGCATGGGAGATGGATTTCGGCTTGATGACCTAAAGTTTAAATGCTCAAGCCGAGATCTGCTTTCGATCGTCTATGGGTTGGTAGATGCGTGCTGCTCAGAAGTCTCATACTACGATGAGACAGCTATTCAGTGATTCTTAGTTTTTCAATGATTATCTAAAACTTGGTTCTTTTATTCAACTGGAAATAATCATTTTTGATATCACATTCATAGTCTTTCTGTAAGTCTAAAAAGTAATTAAGTAAGACTGCATAACACCATAATCTGGTGTGTTAGATCTTCATTATTGTTGTCCCTTTTACCACTACTGTCATCTTTTAGATAGAAATATACTCCAAATACCTAAATGAGAAAAATTATATCATTTTGTGTACCCACTACTATCTGTAACATTTAAGATAATGTAAACGTCCATATTTTCATGTTTCAAATGGTAATTATAAATGCTCACTTAATTTTGAATATATTATTATACTATCCTTCAATCATAGCATGACACGTTGATATTCTAGAGAGCCCTATCAGGCTCTGATTGGATGGAATCTCTTTTGTTCCTTTAGAGCCATTGGAGGCTTCGTTATGCTTCTCAAAGTCATCTCAATACATACAGTAGTTAATATGATTTGAATAAATATATATAAATTTAATAAAAAAATGGAAGGAGAGTTTCCCATTTCCAAATATTTTGACACCTATGAATATATAAAAACTGAAGACAGGATTTCACATGAAGATATCATTTACTGATTATTCAGTCTGAAGGAAAAATAACAAATAAACACCAGTATATATCTACTGTTTTAAGGATTATTAGGTTAGGAAAACCCAGTTATGTTGTAATGCCCCTTATATTAAAGATACTAGAAAAGAAGGTTATTGAAGAAACTGAATAAATAATATTTAATACTTTGTTATGGATTTGGTCTATAATTGTTATACAATGAACAACTATACTATTTAAAATCACAAAATTTATTGTAATATACAGTAACAATAGTGATTGGATTCCCCGTTTATAATGCAGTAGGATCGATAGGAATTAATGTAAAAACCTAAATGGATTGCACCTCTAGAACATAATTGGGTGTCATACAATGAAAGCGAAGGATGAAGTATAATTAGAACAAGTGAAAATCAAAAACAGATCTCGCGTTTGTGCGCGAGATTGAACGGCCTGGATTAGCTTTTCTGAGTCTGGGTTGAGAATGCACACTTCTGAGGAATCCCATATTAAGACGAAATGGTATTCGAGTGCTCTCAAGTTTTCATTGGGGGTCTGGCTAGGATTAACTTATGAATTAAAGTGTTAAATTAGAAGAGAGATTTATTTTATCAGAGAGAGTCAAAACATCACATGAAAGCTTATTAAATATAATTACTATCTATCTAGAACCTCACAAACTGAATATTTGAAATAACTTAAATATGAATATCATTGGAATCGTTTAGATTGTATAAGATGTGCTCGGTGGTAACGGGTTCCAAGAAAAAACCTCTGTTTCAGTGATTAATACTGAATGACTGAGTTCATCATTGATAGACTTAAGTACTACTGCTGGGGATGGTTGCTTACCGATAAGAAATGAATAATTTGTCTGAGATTTGTTCTAAATCAATAGTGTAAAAGCAACATATTGCATTGCACAAAAGTCTTAGATTTGAACTACTTCCATACAATGCAGTCCTATACTTGATGCTTTAGTTAGCATTCATCGACGGACGTAAGCTGCAAAACTAAATTGTTGATATTTTGTCGTAGATTTACAAACGCTATTAAGCGATGACGCACCTTCGATTTTAGTTCCTACGGTTCGCATTTTTAAAGTAAACAAATATTTGTTTAATGAGAGATAAAGACGATTCAGCGAATAAGGTTTTTTACGCCGATGTCATTTATCTAAGCAGAGATGGATAGTAGCTGGTAGTGGAATCCAGGATGTACATTTTGTCTTATTAAAGACTCTTCACCTGGATGTATTTGGATTTGAGTTGATATTTACCCCAGGAGTCAAACCCAGTATCTTCCGCTTTAAGTGCCACTGCGTTACAGATAGCTACATGCTTATGGAAACGAGTGAAATTTTATTTCATTTCTATTGGTTGTTATACACAATATAAAAATCTTAAATAAAATAGATTATTGCATCATATAAGATGATGATTGAATATGTTTCCAAATTTCAAAAATAAGACTACATAATAGACCAAAACAGAACCCATATGAAAGTTAACTGTCAACTTAAGAAGGGTTAACAAGTTATTGATCAATTGTTTGAACTTATCAGTTATAGAAAAGAAGTTATGTTATAATTCATTGACTACATCTAAACGATTATTAAAAGATATTGTGGGGTAGAGATATTTGTCCGTTAGGTGAATATAAAGAACATAATAAATAAATGATATAGCAATGGCTAGTTAATAATTATGAAGAAATAAGGAAAAAGTAACAACAAAATATTAATGGAAATAGAAGACAGAAAACAGGTTTCAGATAAGATGAAATGCCAAATATGTTGATTTTATAAACAGAGATTAGACCCCCTACAAACAAAGATGGTTGGTGGCTAGTGGTGGAATCTAGGATGTGCGTTCCGTCCTACTTGGGACTCGTCAGCTGGATGAATCTGCATCCCAGAGTTGATGTTCACCCCGAGATTTGAACGCAGTACAGTTCGCTTCAAATGCCATCACGTTATCTACTTAGTTACTGAGTCCTGGTAGCCACTAGCTTGTTTAGCAGAGTGAAGTTTAAATTCATTTTGTATCCAGCTGACAAGTCCCAAATAGAACAAAATATGCATATTGGATTGCACAGCTAGTCACCATCCAGCTTCGCTTGTAATGCTTGTGACCTAAAGCAATATCGGGGCAGGGCACATATGCCAATAAGGGACTAGTCAGTTGATCAGTCTTAAACATCAATGGGAAAATTAGAACAACCAATACAAAATGAATTTAAACTTCGTTTCATTGCAACATCTGGTGGCTACCAGAACTCAGTAGCTAAGTAGATTAGGAGATGGTGAAGCGAACGATATTGGGTTCGAGAGGTGGAGTGAACATTAACTTTGAGATGCAGGTTCATCCGGCTGTTTTCCCAGCTGACGAGTCCAAAATGGGACGAAACGCGCATCTTGAATTCCACTGCTAGCCATTAATCTTATTTTTTTTAATAATGCTTGAGTACTAAGATAAAATCGCAGCAATGCGCACAGTATGCACATATGCCAATAAGAGACTGATCATTTGCAGTCCAAAACATCAATGAGTTTTGCATATTACATTCTTATCTATCCTTTATCAAATAAAGATATAAACTGAACAAAGATTATCCTTTTCAATAAGTCTTCAGTCACACTAGTTTTCCGGAATGGATACCCAAGTTTAAGGGAATGAAACATTTTAATTTGTATATAAATTTAGATCAAAACTTGTGTTGAAATAATTTGGACATAATGAAAAGTTGTAAGATAAAATGAGTAATGCTTAAATTCTTTAAGTGATTGTAAGGTTAATAATACTAACGATAGACTTATTATTACCAACAATAACAGTAATAATAATAATGTATATTTACGTCACTATATTACGGAGAGTGATGGCAGAGAAAGTTGTGCATTCTGACTTCCTGTAAACTCTTGTAATGTAATTACTTATTTGATGTGCTAGTAATTACTTAATAATTACTAATGGGAAGACACAAGTAAACTATACCAAGTGAATCTAAATTTCACTCCATTGCACAAGCAGGTGGCTATCAGGACTCAGTAGCTGAATTGATGGCGTTTAAACTGAACAGTACTGGGTTCGAGTCTCGAAGTGAACGTCAATTGTGGGATTCAGGTACATCCAGGTGGTGAGATCCGAATAGGACGAAACGCGTGTGCTAGATCCCAGTGATAGCCACTATCAATCTTTGCTTAATAAGCAATTTCAATAGTTGAAATCATGAATCAATTGAAGCTAGACCACCATGGAAAACCTGGAAGCACAGGACGGCCGTTTCATCCTAGTATGGGACTCCTCAGGAGTGCGCATCCACGATCCCGATCGTGGATGGTCTAGCTTCAATTGATTCATGATTTCAACTATTGAAACTACCAATTCTCCACAAAAAACCCCTTCTAGTAATAATCATCTGCTCACCAGTGACTGACTACTTCAAGAGATACTCCTGGAGTTCTAGTGAGAAGCCGTGACCCGTGGAGTTCAACCAGGTCTGCTTCCAGGTTTCCCATGCTGGTCTAGCTTCAATTGATTCATGATTTCAACTATTGAAATTACCGATTCTCCACAAAAAAACCATTCTAGTAATAAGCAATTATTTGTTCAGAATAGTTGGACAGTTTCTCTTTTGATCTTCATCTATATTTGTATATCATTCTTTTTCTAAGAGTTTCATAAAGTTGTTCGGGAATCTTTGTAATATAGATTTGCAGTAGAATTACTGATAAAGTTTCGTTTTATTTAGATCTCTTAAGTCTGATATACCTAATTTTTAATTTAGATTACTTCCTGGAAAAATTTATATGTAGGTTAGTCATTAGTCCTATTTAAAAAGCCATTTATATTTCAGAGAAATATTTTTGGTGAAACTTTAATTTATGTACAATTTTTGAGCGACGCCAGTGTCTTCGAGAGTATCTACCTGCTAACTAGGGCTAAATGAAGATTATAAAGTAGTTTGAAGAATAAAGACTATGATTCAAAGTTGATGATCATGGTTAGAAACTCGGTTTACGGTTTTTCATCATGAACTGACATCAGCTAAAATGCCAAAACACTATTTGGCCAAATGGATGAGTGAATTTCGCGCCAAAATCCAAGACTTGTTATCTTATACCTGACTGGTACGTCCATAAATTATATACTTAACAAATTTTCTATTATTTCATGATTTTCTATAATAGAACAATCAATATTTATGTCATTAATATTTTACTTTTTATTTTAAAAAAAACTTTTAATTAGTTGTTCAAGTAACTGAAATGTACTTACTGGCAAAAGGAACATATCGGTCTACGATAAATGAACATTTATGCAAGTAAGCCATTGCTTTTCTAAGTGCACTATCTTATTATAAGATTGTACTAATCTTAATGACTTTATTTAAAATAATTTAGTATCAGAAGGGGTTTTGTGGATAATTTAGTAACTTCAATAGTTTAAATCATGAGTCGATTGAAGCTAGATCATCATGGAAAACCTGGAAGCACTGGTGTTATAACGCTCGGTGTTACCTTGTCTGATGTTGTAACGCTTAAACGATTATCTACACTAAATCCCTTCCAGTGTCTATTCTACAGAACTTCAACACAACTCAGGTCAAGAACACGTAATCAGCCTGACCAGAACGTAATATATTTCACACCCAAAACAGACAAAATCCACAACAATGAACAATCAATAATAGGATGTATATAAGAGAGTGAGTCACAATAATAAGGGTAAGGGAATATATAACTTATCTGACACCTGTCAGACTGTCTACATGTCTGACTAAGCAGACAACCAATCATGATCGTTCTCGCCCACACATATATATATTCACCTGGTATTGTTTACTTGAATCTTCTCACTGTTATTTAGGACTTGAATTGATCAGTCTCTTGTTGGCATATGTACATCCTGTGCGGATTGCCTCGATATTGCCTTAATTCACAAGCAATCTAAGCAAAGATGGATAGTGCCTAATAGTGGAATTTAGAACGCACCTTTCGTCCGGTTTGGAACTCGTCAGCTGAATGTACCTGCAATTCCGAGTTGATGTTCATTCCTTGACTTGAACCCGGTACAGCTCGCTTCAGATGCCATCGCGTTATTTACTGAGTTCATAGTCCTAGCTAAGTGAATAACGCGATGGCGCTTAAAGTGAACGGTACTGGATTCGAGTCCCGGGGTGAACACGAACTCTGAATTGCAGGTACATTCAGCTGACGAGTCCCAAACAGGATGAAAGGCGCGTCAAACTGGATTCCACTGCTAGGCACTATATATATATATATATATATATATATATATATATATATATATATATATATATATATATATATATATATATATATTGCCGAAGTGGACCACAGTTATATAATAATAAAAAGCTTTTCGATCCTAATTCTATTATGCAAAAAAGCACATAATACCGAGTCATTTTCAGTATTCAAATCAAAGCAATACACTTTTATTAGTTTTTTAAAAAAAAAGATAAATATTCTTTGTCTAAACATATCACTTTTGTTTATTCAACTCTTCAATCTACTGAAGTGCATTATTATGTTATCTACCATTAGTGTACTTCTATTTATGATTAAATCAACCAACCTCTTAGACAACAATTTGTAATTTCAAGTATCATTATGTATAATTCTTTATTTTTTTTTATAAAAAATAAACAGTCTATTAATCAATATAGTACACTTTACTTACTATTATTTCATTTAATATTCTATTTATATAGAGAGAATCTTCCTCAAGCTGGTGAACAACAATGGAAGTATACAATATCATTAGATACCAGTCTTACTGATGCCTTATTAAAACACGGTGTTGCTTTAGAAGGTTATATTAAACAGGAGAAAAATTGGTTGGCTTCATCAACAGTATTGAAATTATCTTCCGATTTAGGTGAATGTCTAGAAATGATGCAAAATATTCATAAAAACATTGAAGAGTAAGCTAAAATATATAACTTTAAAAAAATCTTTCAAATTTTAATTTAATATAAAGTTTGAAGTAATTTTTCATCTTGGACTGACAGGAATTGAAGAACCATTAAAACTTACTTACTTACTTACGCCTGTTACTCCTCATGAAGGAGCATAGGCCGCTCACCAGCATTCTCCATCCAATCCTGTCATTGACAATCCTTTCCAGCTCTTTCCAGTTCTTATTCATCCTTTTTATATCTACTTCTATTTCCCGATGTAGTGTTTTCTTTGGCCTTCTTCTTTACCATTTCTCTTCACGATTCCAAGTTAAGGCTTGTCTCGTAATGCAGTTTGATAATTTCCGTAATGTATGTCCTACCCATTTCCATCGTCTTTTCGTGATTTTCTTCTCGGCTAGTAGTTGGTTTGTTCTCTCCCACAGAATGCTGATGCTGATGGTATCCGACCAATGTATGTTGAGTATCTTGAGAAGACAACTATTTATAAATACTTGTACCTTCTTGATGTTGGTTGTAGTAATTCTCTAACGCTAACCATCAAAACGAGGGGACAATAAATACTTGTTTCATTTTAGTCTAGGACTTCTAAATAATTCTTTATCAAGGCTCCATATAGAAATGAACTCGGGTAAATTTCATATGAGGAACCTAAGTTGGTCAAGTTCAACCATTTGGGAAACGAAAAAGTTATCATTGACTGCGTTTTTAAATAAAAACAACTCTTAGAGTTACCGCACATAACCATCAAAATTAGAATACAAACTAATCCTAACCTCTATAACAGAAAATCTTACATTGTCACACCAGAACATTCTATACGATCAAATGAATCAATTCAAAAGAAGTAGGAATCAAATACTGTACTTCATAAACCTGATAGTTCAGTGGACCGAACCTGAAATTTATGTTTTAAAGCACCATGATTATTCTTTGATTACCGTGGTCCTAACTTTCTAATTTTCATACTTAATAATCAGTTATTATGATTACATAGAGATTATGAACCGACCAATTTCACACCACCACTAAAAACCTGGAAAGAATGGATAACCGTGTCGTCCTAGCATTGCACTCCTCAGCAGTGCACATCAGTAACCATGTACACGGAAATCGAACCAAGGACCTTCAGTTTCGAGAGCAAACACTTAACATCTAGGTCACTGGGCTGGCATTCAACAGCGTTAATGTCTAACTTCAACCAACCCACGATATTGCACGACCACCTTCGATTATCTCTGACCGGTTTATGGTTTCCATGAAACTCAATCATCTCCATAACTTTGTACTGTTATGATTATCTTCAGGTTTTCTCCTTTACTTTCTACATATTCATCAAATGGATAATTACCTTCCAAACGTTTTGTATATCAACTATTTTCATCTAACTATTTCACATGAATCATTACATCAATACACTAACTATTCTAAGTACCTGATTAGTGACTCTATTTCATCAAACAACATAAATCGAGCGCTGTCTCATGCTTTGTTGAGACCTATTCACGACATTATCTATGACCTTTCAAAATATGAGAGTATGAATTTTAGAGAAATTTTCAATGAAGCTAATTTATAATCAAATACATAAACTTTAATGTTTATCAAGGTGAACTTGAAAGAATTTGACTTATATGTCGAAAACCGGTGCATTCATTCACTTTGTTTGTCTTAATACACAGTAAGGTAATTCCACTGACTAATCGAATTGGTTACTTCAACTTTGAACATATTAAAAAACTTCTACCTTAATCAGTCGATAATTTCTACCTTTTTAACCTCTTTTCATATAGAAAACTGTAAGTTGTCAAATTATAAGCTATTACTATGATTACAATGACCGTAATAGAATGTTTGTCCCATTTTCTATGATGTATTCATAGGAATTTCCTACATTGTTTATAACTTATCACACAACAAAAGTGTTTCTTAATATACAATTACACTAACGTATCTACGTAATGTTATTTCATTAGTATGTGACCTTTTAGATGTACTAATCATAAATTTCATGTAGATATTCTAATAGTAAACGATAAGAACCTTGCCATTTTCATAGTTGAATGCTAATTGATACAATCAAGATTTTAATATATACCCTAAGCCAGTTATCATAATACAATTTTTTATAGACTTATAATATAAGAACCTTTCAGAAAAAGTAGATAAAAACAATGATTAGTTCAAACATTGAGTTATAACAGGTTGAAGATGCCACAGGTATTTGGAGTTCAGCAACACTTTAACCAGTAACACCTTCTACTGTGAATCGTGCTCACCTAGTGGGATCGAAAGTCAGAAGCGAGGAGGTTTGAAGATATATTTGATAGGCTATCAATATATCGAGAATCGACTGATCTAAACTGACTAGCAATTGCAGGGTAAGTGGAGCATGGCGTTCCCACTAGCGATCTGGTGAGGATGCATGACGGAGCGCCTTCGTCTAGGTGAGTTCACTAAAACTAATGTGGTTAGCATCCAATGTTGAAGACTTACAGAGCTATTGATTTTGGGGATTTATTTACCGTTACAAGGTGAATCCCATGATTAAATGAAGATAAAGTATCTTTTCACCAAGTAATCCTATTCGTAGCATTTAAGAAAAATGTTATAGCAAATGATCATTTATAAATGGACTTAGCGATAATTTTTCACCACAAACTCACTTGGGCAGAAGAACCGTTAAAGAATGTGCTAAACAGTTGTTTATTGTTAATTGTGTATATGTTCAACCACATTGGCGTTAAGAAACATCGATTAAAGTTAGACATTAACACCATTAGATGCCGGATCAGTGGTCTAGTGACTAAGTGTTTGTGCGCGAGACCGAAGGTCCTGGTTTCGAGTCTCATATGAGGGATCGTGGATAGTTACTGCTGAGGTATCTCATGATAAGATAAAACGACCATCCAGTGCTTCCAGGTTTTCAGTGATGGTCTAGCTTAGATTGACTCATGAATACAGATGTTCAAATTACCAAAATCTCCACAACTCCCTTTAATGATATATGGGTTAGGAAATAAATACAGTACCTGTGGACAAGTGAGTTAGATTCCAATAGTCTATATTTTGAAGGAGGGTTTATTCATGATATGGTTTAGCCGTCATCACCTAACTACATAGGTAGTATCAGTCCAGAATAATAATAAAAGATTCGGAATTAAATTGTCCAATACAGTGAATGTAACATTGCAAATGAATCTATGAGTTAAAAGATTTATTATTATTATTTATTTTCAGAATGGAGATTTGTGGACATTGTAACTATTTTAACAGTTTAATTCATGAGTCGATTTATGCTAGACCACCATCGGAAATCTGGTAGAACTAAATGACCATTTCATCCTAATATGAGACTTCTCAGCGGTGAGCATCCACGATCTCACATGTGGAACCTTTGATCTCGTGCGCGAACGCTTAATACCTAGATCACTGAACCGGCATCCAGAGGCGTTAATGTCCAACTTCAATCGATTCATGATGTTTCACAACCCTTCATCTATTGTCTAAGGTTTATAATTGTCTCCGCCAGATACGGATTGGATCCCACTGGTCATGTCTTCTCACTGGAATTCCAGGAGTTTAAGCATGAAGTTGGTCAATAGTGAGCCCATGATTATTATTAGAATGGGGATTTGTGGAGATTGTAGTAATTTTACCGTGATTCCATGTTTTCAATGGTGATCAAGCTTAAATCGACTCATGAATTCAATTATTATTAATTTTTTAGTTATTGGTGCATCTATTATTGTGGATTTGACTGATATTCTAAGTAACTGATCCCTGATCGGCAAAACTAATGGACAGAATTACCATAAAATAATCATTACTGATATTTTATTGTTGACTACGAATGTAAGCACAAAAGTGCACAAAGTTGTAAACATTTAAACAATTGTCTGTCTCTTATCAATAGTAATCTATGTATTGTTTATCAGCCCGCGCTCTCCCACTATTACAGACATAACTTTACCACAGTAGTGACGAAAAATCCTCAATAAAAACTCTGAAACAATCTAACTTCTTGTTACATTTATTTGGTTAGAAAATTTCCCTCATGATGATTGTCAGAATTCGACCAGCACTGTAAGAATTGTATAAGCATGAAATCAGTCATTACTCAGTGATCAGTAAGTTATAAATATCTAAGTCATACTGGAAGTTCGTTACAGACCAAACAGCTCAAGGTTGAAGTCTCAAATTGTGAATCTGAGTGACATGAGAGCTTTACTGATGAATACTGAGTAATAAGACACTCTAATCCAGGGTTTCCTATAGACTACCCCTAATAGCCTAACCAACATCATATCTTAAGTTTACTGATTGTCCAAAATCTGTTACAGACATTCTTCAAGGATTATATGGTATCCAAGTCATACATTTGTATATATTTTCTGACATTGTGAATAATATATGCTATCAATTATTTGACATAATGTTGACTAATAAACAAAATGTCATTTTATAAACAAATTATCAAGACATTTAAGAGGTATCAGTCCATAACTTTTATCTTCTTTATATCCTTCCTTATTAGTCCATCATTGTTTTTTTTCTAGATCTACGGAAACTGCAATCAAAGCGAATAAAGAATTACATGGAGTTGTTATATCATACTTTGTTCGTGTTAGATGTTGGATAGGGATCAGGTAATTCATCTATTAGTGTTATAATCTTTATTTATTATTGTCTTATTATACGTTTGATTGTGTATTTTAGTTAGATACAAAATTATTACAAGAGGTTTATGGAAATTTGTGAAATTTCACAGATTATTCAACAGACTATCTGCAAATTTCAACCAATCAACTTTGGGCCCCGTCTACACAACAGATACCTACACACGAGATCTGTGAAATTTACCAAAACCGGAGCCTTTGGTTTAACGATTATTTTTTGGTTTGTGACTAACAGTGAAATTCATGACTTATGTTTCGCTATATCTAACATTCATTAGTTGTTCTTATCTGCATCGCAGTGTTGACATTAATATTGAGATTAAAATCTCAATGTCTTTTTCATTAGGTTACTGTTTCTATATAGCCATTAACTTGCTTAGTACTAAAGTATACTGTCAGCAATACAGAGTTATTCTCTCTCCGAGCACATTTGTCCATTAAAGTAGATCAAATGGGGTTCTCAATCTTAGCAGTAGGATCATACGAACTCTTAACAGTAGCCATTTGTTTACAATTTAAATCAATAATTATCAATTAATACTTTAGGTATGAAATCAAAATATTGCGGATCTCTGTTAATGAATTTAAATAATCCTAATATGTCATAAGGCACTATGGCTCAAGCCTTATAGTCTGTCACGATGACTTATTTGATCCTAACCATGATAACTAGATCTAAATATAAAGTACATAAACATCATCACAGATAATAACTTCAAAGGTTTTTTACCACGGACGATCTACATTCACATCATAAATTAAGTTCATTAACTGAAACTGAATAGTCAAGTGTGGTTTTTGTGACATCGTCTTCCACAATTTTGATTTCTTGAAGTAGTTAGAATATGATTTACAAGTGAAAATGACGAGATTATAATTTGTAGACGAACCAATCAAATATAATATAACAGGTCTTGGATTTCGCCGCGAAATTCATTCATTCATTTGGCTGAATAGAGTTTTGGCATTATAGCTTATGTCAGTTAGTGACGAAAACCCTAATCATCAACTGAAAATCATAATTCTAATTGCTCACAAAGGTTTATAACCCTCGTTTGGTCCTTGATATTAGATGAACACTCTGAAGGTCAGTTTAGCGTCGCTCAAAGGTCGTCTATAAATTAAAGTCTCACCGTGAAAATTTCGACCCCTTTACTTTCATTTGATAAGGTCTTTACAGGTCTAGTATGATATCTCATTTCTTCCCTTTAGTTGGCGATTAGTTTTTATGGATAAACTCTTGAGAATCTCAATAAAAGTTTATAGAAAATGACGAACTCAGTCAAACGTTGTGAATTGTTTTTCTTATATTAATCTATCACTGTTGAAAGATGAGATCTTCGATATTTATTTCATTGACAACTTGCTTATATTCTAACTATTGGTTCAAGTTGGAATTAACGACATATAGCACCTTATCCTATTCAGAGATTGATGATTAGATGTGCCTAAATACTGTGATTGAAGTTTCCATTGAGATTTCATTCGCAGTCTATTTTAATAGTATAAATTCAAATAGTAATATTACACACTAACTTAGCAAGGAATCCGTTTGATTTCACTTTATATATATATATATAATATTAATTTATTGAGAAATATTGACACTACTTTTAATGACTATATCAGTAATAATTTCAATTATGTTTTAAATGGATTTTATTTCTTTTCTAGTCGATTTTCTGTCCATGTACCATTTTTATTGATGCAACCAGAAAGAGAACCTAGTACTATAAATAATAATACTAATAATAATGATATACGTTTAACTACTCATACTGTTCAAGCTGATGTAGTAGAAAATCAGGTAAGTGAATACATCAGTTTACATAGATTTAAATTACCTTCAGCTTTTCATTGTTGATTGTTAATAATTATTATGTTTAGATTGATATCATGAATGGATCAATATTGGATCAGCATTGAAAATGTGGAAGCACTGCACGATCGTTTCATCCTAGTATGGGACTTCTTCAACATTAATCCATTAATGATATCAATCTAAGCTCAACAATCTCCTCAAAATTTTATTGATAATTATTGTGTTACCTGATCTTTTGGTACTAAAGACAGTTATTTTAAATTATTCGAAATGTTAGTGGGCTTTATTACATACTGAATGGTGTTAAATGAAATTGAATAAAGTACTTCAGACACATTGAAACAATACTGTCACAAAAGTTCTGACTTAATACAGCGGTTAGAAATGTTAAACAAAGAGTTATTAAGGCAGCATAATGTTTCTGTTATCAAATATCAAAGAAAATAAACTTATGTTAAGGACCCTTTTTTGGATTCCCACTAACTACCTAAGTCAGGTGACTAATCTTACAAGTGGAATTGTTAACGCATAGAATAAATCTTCATCATAAGTCTGTTGAATATATTTTTACTTCAATATGGTAGAAAGTAAAACTCTTTAAAATATCTACCATAAATTTTATGCAACATATCTGTTATGTTCTTAGGTTATACGATTACCGCGAATACGATTGACAAATTTAGATATGCGGAACTATAGAACCAACAAATGACTCATAATCCTGTGCAAGCGGCCTAAAGTCCTGATTGGTTCTTTTCGCTATCTGTTAAGTCCAGAACACAAATCTCAGCCTCCGCGATGTAAATCATGTACTACAAACATACAGGGTTTATATACAAACCAAACACATCACATCATACCATAAAATATAGAACAGCATTTGTGCAGGATCTAGCTAAAAGTGGCTGTGAATGTGGAAGACTGTAATTAATAGACTGGGCATAACTCAAGAATGTTAAATCATATAATGATAGTTTGTAAGTTAAAATGAACCTTATAATACGAGGAACACGAATATCAATAGTTTAGTTACTTAACAATTACACAATGAAAATATATGTATATTATTAGTCCACAAATAGATTCCAACAGTTACCATCAATTATACTCGTCGAGATATAACAATACCATCTAAATATTTTGTTGTACTCCATATCTATGTACAAAAAAGTCCGTGCATCAAAAACTCCATCGGAATTTACCTTACAACTCTAATCAGGGTGGACAAATAACATTAATTTGTATTAATTTACTCTTATTCTAACAGTTGAACAAAATAATAAACAAATATGTGGTACAGTTGTACAACTTAAACTTGTGTTAATTCCGGTTATTTATTTACTCTGAAGAAGTGGCTTACATGAAGTCACAAAACGTCAGCAATTCAATTTTCCTACTTATTGGGATATAACAAAAATATATTTATTATTAACTCTCTATCCATACATACAAAATAAACGAATGAACATATGGATCGAAAAATAGGGTAGACGAATCTATATTACTGAGTTCACTTAAATAACATACTGGATATGTAGTGATGAGGAGTCCCATACCAGAAAGATATACTAATCTAGTCCTTCCTGGTTTTCATTGTCGATCTAAATGAAATTAGTTAATGATGTTAATTATGAAAATTAATATTTGTGACATCATATAACCTGTAAAATGTTGCATAGGACTTAATAATAGTTAGTAGTATGCTGCGACACAAAAACCAAAAACGAAACTACTTAATTCGTCCTATATTGGTTGCTTGAATTTTCCAATTGACGCTTAGGACTGCAATTGAATAGTCTATTATTAGCATGTGTGCATCCGGTGGATAATAGACTCAGTAGCTTAGTGGATAATGCAACAACGTTTGAAAGCAATGGTATTGGGTTGGAGTCCCAAAGAGAACATCAATTCTGAGATGCAGGTACATCCAGGTAATGAGTCCCAAATATGGCGATACTCACATCCTGGATTCCACTGTTAGCCATCATTCATCTCTGCTTATTACAATACTTAAGCATAATAAATAGATCTAACTTTTTGTATTACTGTGAAAGTATTTGTGTATAAATGAAGCATCTAGTGTATAAAAACACTTCAACACTTCTAGTCTCATTTAAATTATTGCTTCATGATTGTCAGATGTTAAATAAAAATACTCTGTACGATGATGTGCACAACAACATGCAGCTTTAACAACAAATTCAATGTTTAGAATTTTATAAAACATGCTTAAATACAAAAAATCGAAGGTTATATAAAGATGACGCTACTAGAAAACCATTTTTCACCAACTGTGACTACTGAAAACGAGTATAATATCATGTCTTTAGAAATCTTATAAATATTTCAATGATTATATCTTATATGAAATGAAAACTAACTTATTTCGTTTTTATTTTAAAGTATTGAATCTTCCATTCATTGATGTTAAGGACTGAATTTTGATAAGTCTATTTGCGTATATATGCATCCTAATTGTTATGAGGCCAGGCTTCTTAGATATGGTTAGACAGTGGGTAGCATTAAAATTCAGGACGCTCATTTTTTCTTATTTGGAACTCGTCAGCTGAATTTACCTGTATCCCAGTGTTAGGAGGAAATGCTCCTATTGTATTTCACTGAAGGCTTAATAGCTTATTTTGTATTCTACATAACTCTAACCGACTTCATCGGATTACAACGAATAGAATATTTCACTGGTTGAAATCATGAATCCATTGAAGCTAGACCACCATGGAAAGCCTGGAAGTACTGGACGGCCGTTTCGTCCTAGTATGGGACTCCTCAGCAGTGCGCATCCACGATCCCGCTCCTCACGAGATTCGAGCCCAGGACCTATCAGTCTCGCGCCAGGCGCTTAACCAACTAGACCACTGAGCCGGCATCCAACGGTGTTAATGTCTAACTTCAACCAATCCACGAAGTTAGACATTAACACCGTTGGATGCCGGCTCAGTGGTCTAGTTGGTTAAGCGCCTGGCGCGAGACTGATAGGTCCTGGGTTCGAATCTCGTGAGGAGCGGGATCGTGGATGCGCACTGCTGAGGAGTCCCATACTAGGACGAAACGGCCGTCCAGTGCTTCCAGGTTTTCCATGGTGGTCTAGCTTCAATGGATTCATGATTTCAACCAGTGAAATTTCTAAAATCTCCACACAATCCCTTCTGATAAGAATAGAATATTTGTCAAATTTATGTTTAGCAAAACAACTATTGGATCTAAGATGAGAATTAACATTTTGAAAGAATCATAGAATCCATAGAAGTAAAACACAGATTAAATTTGTCATAATGTTACTTATATTCTTCTGATACTCATTGTCATAAAAATAGTCGTAAATCTAGATCACTAGTTCTCAATGGAATCATTGATTTTACAACTATCTTGAATGTAACTGTTGGTTAGCAGATTAAAGCAGCATTGTAATCTTGGTATCGTACAATCCACTCATACAAATTGGTGAGTAGTTTAGCTTTAAAAAGAACAATAACTGAGTGAAATGTGTTAAGGTATCATAAGTAAGTTTATAAGAAAATAGTTTCCAAATTTCCACTAAATCTATTTATGACAGGGATGTAAATTCGATCAATTACATTTGAGAGTTTATACAATCAAATGTAGGATGTGAATGTATAACTATTTAGTTTGAAAATATTAGATTTATACTAAAGGTCTATGAACGTCTTATTCCATTTGTGATCTATTAACGAATGTGCATAAACGTTGTGGCTTTTTAAGAATAATCAGTATTTTTATTACTGTGATTACTGTAGACATAAGTAGTATGTAGCATCAATCAGTATTAGAATGGCTGACGACAGAGGGTTGAGAAAATCGAATTAAAGAGTATGAAAATAGAATAGTTGTAATAAAAACAGGAATGTAGAAACGATGAAGTTTGTAAGGGACAATTGATGGAAGATCTGCAAATGAAGTATTTAATCTATGATTTTCAAATTTTACGAAAATATTCTATAATTGGTTCAGTTCACCAAATCTTCGATCACTACATTACTACTATACTTTTCATTATTGATTAGTTTAAAATCATCTTTTCTCAAACTAGCATATGATAATATTAGAGATGGTATTACTTATATACTTACGCCTGTTACCCTTCATGAAGGAACATAAGCCACTAGAGATGGTATAATGTCATTTTATTTCAAATACATGGTTTATTTCATTACTAATAACTTTCATTCTATGAAATATTTGGAATTTTTTAAAAGTTTTTCATACTCTTTATTTATGTTGTAGCCAATTGAAGACAAATCGGAAGATAAACAAATTGAAATACCTCATGAAGATCAAGATTAATTGTTGTAAATCATAGTTGAAGTATCAAGATTACATTTGTCAACAAAATTAAATACAAAACAAAACAGCCTAGTACTTTGTTTATGTAGAAAAATAAAATTAATACAATTTTTTTCTTTTTTTTATATATCACAGTTGATTGTATCAGTTTTAAATTGTACTTTTAAGCTTATATTCTATTGAATAATTTCTGTAGAAAAATGAATAGATTTTTACGCTATTTCTCTTTTCATGAATTTACTTTTAATGATCAAAAAAAGGATTTTTGTGGATATTATTAGTAATTTCAATAGTTAAGTTCATGAGTCAATTCAAAATAGACTACCATGGAAAACCTGGAAGTACTGGGCGGTCGTTTCGTCCTAGTGTGGTACTCCTCAGTAGTGCTCATCCGCGATCCTACCTCACAAGATTCGAACCCAGAACGTATCGGTTTCACGCCTGATCGCTTAACCTCTAGACCACTTAGCCAGCATACAACAGACTTAATGTCTAACTTTAACCAATCCACGAAATTGAGCTATCGTCCGCCGTTGCCGTCAGTGACATTAACATCGTTGGATGTCGGCTCAGTGGTCTAGAGGTTAAGCGAACACGCACGATACTGACAGGTCATTGAAGTATATCATGGAATAAAAAACCATCTTGTCATGATTTTTCTCTTGACGTACGTTAAAAATAAGTTTACTAGTACACGATTTACTGTTTATGCTATGCGATCAGTAAGCATAAAAAATAGTTTTACCTGTTCCCCACCCGGTAACTCTTCTTAATCTATTTTATGCATCTTTAATGCATTGTAATTGATGAAAGGTAAAAGATATAGTAACATTTAACGCGTCAAATGTAAGGTTGTATTCAACATTGTTTAAAAATAGATCTACTGATTACTTAAAGAATAGTTTCAAAAGTATCTTATTTTCAATTACAAGGTCAATATTAATGTATTAAGTCCGTAACAATGTAGAACTTCGTACGTACGTACGTCAGTTCTATTTGCGATGCCACATTAGCATGGAGATACGATTGTCGATTGAAATCCCATAATGGTAGAGGTAGTGAGAGTATAAGTAGTAATCGGAAAGATTAGGTTTTGAAGATGTTACTCAAGGAGTATAATCCAGTGAAATAAATTTGGAAGGAGAAGGAAAATAGAGACAAAGAGAATTCAGAAGATTAAAATTTGGGAAACACAAAGAGTAGATGTACCTGACTGACCGTAGTTGCCATCTTGATGTGGTGGTCGTGATGACTCAATAGAGCTACATTGGCTGGAACATATGTTCCCGTAGGTTCTATCATGCCAGGCAGGTCGATTGGAGAACGGTAAGACTAAAACCAGCAACTCAAAGTCTGAGGGCGAAGTCGTACTGCAGACTGTAGAGGAGTGTGACAGCAGTAAGGTGTCTCCCTCGGACAACCAGCATCTGCAGCGGTGCTGCCTTCTCACAAGGAAGGGAGGGGTTAGAGAAGGTCAACCCTAAAAATGTCACACCTGACCTTACCTCACGGATTTCCGTCTGTGGCGGTAAGGCCCTTTGAAGAACGAAGCTAACACGTTAAAAACCTTCCACAAAAAAGCCGCGCGCGACCGGCCTCTAGCAGCTGTCCCTTGGGCTCTGCGGTCACACACCCAGGTAGTTAGGACCAACACTAATCCGATTTCCTTTTCAGGTTCCTCAAGAAATACCCTTCCACGGTGTATGCAACCGGGAAGTGACATCAGCCCTCATACCCGTAACAGCACATGAAACCAAGTTGGTTACCATCAAATCCTTCCTACACCTCCTAACAACCCTCTCATCTCTTCGATTAAATAAATAAACTGAAATTAGGCATAATATACTAGGGAAATATACAAATTCATTTGATAAGACTATTGAAATTTATAATCTGTGTATCTCCACCCACTAAAGATTGAATTATTTTGGATGAAGGCTAGAGGTATCTAAACTAAGATGTAGTATAAGCTCATGAAGTCAATGATTGAGCCTTATGAGAAGTTGGAGCTTGAGCAGTAAACCTGATCAGTTATTGAAGATCTCGAATAAAATGGCTCGAAATCGTTTACAGTAATGTAGAAGAATTTGTATTTGAATTTCAATGTTATTTCCTATATTTTAACTTACTAAGTAAATTACTTCTCTCCAATTCCTAATATTGTAGTGAACAGAAAACAGGTGGGGACAACCGAATACATGTCGTCAATCCTCGTATATAATTTTCAAGTTAAATCGCGTTAGTGAATATAGTGTAATTAAATAAGCCAAATACGAGGATGAATTTCAACTGCGCATATCTTATACACTCATCGATCTGGACAGACAATCAGAGAGACGAAACGAAGAGAGGAGAGCGAAGCAAAATGACGCACGGTGGAGAAGTCGTGAGACAACTCAGTTTATTCAAGCGTTAATTGACATTTATAGGCAAACAAAAATAAGCTACAGACATGTGATGAGTGAGATAGGAAATGAACGCATATACGCTCATCTAAAAACAGTCAAGGTTGATAAGTGAATAACTAACACGGTCAAAACGTGACTCAAGATGAATGGAAAAATTGACCAGTCCAGAAGCTAGAATAAATTATATGGGCTTAATATAGTAACTGACACTACAATCTTATATTTGTTTAAAATCTTAATTAAAAAAGTAACAAAAAGGAGTTATTTGATAATTTATATTATATTGTTATCTTGTTTGTATGGAGTGTAGTTACTAATTATAAAGTCTATTCTACTGAACAACTGTAACAAATTCAAACTAATTTTTCAAAAACTCCCATCAAATCTATGGCCGTTGCTTAAACACACAAGTAATAACAAGACAGATATACGACTGTACAGCCTCATACAGAAAATTAGTTCCGGTGCAAAATATACAATTATAAGTTCTATAAATTTATTTAGTATTATTTGCTTGTATCTTCCGAATGTTTAGAACTGAAATTGATCAGTCTCTTGATGGCATGTAAGCATCCTGTGCAAACTTCCTCGATATTGCCTTAAGTCACAAACTATATAAGCAAAGGCGGATAGTGGCTAGCAGTGAAATTCAGTACACGCGTTTCGTCCTACTTGGGACTCATCAGTTGAGTGTACTTGCATCTGAAAATTGTTCACAGTAGGATTCCAACTCAGTACCGTTCCCTCCAAACGCCATCATGTTGCCCGATTAGCTACTGAGTCCTGATAGCCTCCTGTTTGTGCAATGAAGTGAAGCTGGATGAACATAAACTAACGATTCCCAAGCAGGACGAAGCGCGCGTCCTGGACTCCACTGCTAGCCACCACCCATCTTTGCTTATATAGTTGCAAGTAACCTTAAAGTTTTGAATAATGGAGAAAAACACACCAAACATTGTAATAATCTGGGTATTTGTTATAATGCTCGGTTTTCCCTGTCTACACAAATGGGGTGCTAATTTGCCTTAGACGAATATCTACACTGGGTAACCTACCAGTGTTTATTCTAACGGATTTTAACACAACTCAGATCAAGAAACGTGACTAGCCTGACTAGAACGTAGGTATATTTCCACACCAGAAACCGACAACAATCACAATAATAATAAGGCTAGGCGAATACATAACTCATCTAACACATGTCAGATTATCCACTAGTCTGACTAAGTAAACAACTAATCATTATCGTCCTCCCACACACATCAATATTCTTAGTCAATCATATTAACAGAGATTTGATTTGTATTATATCCGGGGATTTCCCAAAGACATTGATTAGTTGACAATATTTGCGACATTCCTTTCAACCACTTAAAAGCTTGTAATTACAATAATTGATATTATTCAACAGAAATATTTACATAAAATACAGGTCAAATACATTTTATCAGAAAGGGGGTGTTTATGAAGATTGTCGTAATTTAACAGTTGGATTCATGAGTCGATTAAAGCTAGACCACCATCGAAAACTTGGAAGCACTGGAAAGCTGTATCGTTCTAATATGGGACTTCTCAGCAGTGGACATCCACGACTCTGCACAACACACTCGAATCCAGGACCTTCGGTTTCGCTTTCGAACACTTAACCTCTAGACCACTGAACCGGCATCCAACGGTGTTAATGCCTGACTTCAACCAAGTAATGGAACAATGCTTAGAACGGTTTTGCTAAGAACTGTGATGTATGCTACTTATGTGTGCAGATATAAGTAGTATCTAACACTAGTTGGGAATGGAATGTCTTCGAGCAGGAGGTTGAGAAGATCGAAAAGAAGATCAGAGAGAAGGAAACTGAAAGTAATCAAGATAAAAACAAGAATGAAAGAACAATAAAACTTGTAAAAGACAATTCAAAGATGTTCAGATGATGTAATTTATGCAAGATTTTCACATTTTACTAAACCATTGTATGATTGTGCATCAGCCAATGACTTGTTCTTCCTCACCTGAGTGCTTGTTCATTAAAATACCAATTAACAATAGTTTTAATAATCAGGAATGTGATAATTATCTGAGTAAATAATTCGATATGTGTGTCAGTCACACAGCTAACTGGTAAAAGAGTCATCCAAATCTCGATTTATGGTCTGTTTGGCGAATTTCAACTTGATCAGTAGAATCCTATCATCACTATGGCTTAAACTCTTTTTGCTGCTACGTGACTAATGGGTTTAGATATCTCAGTTCTCCAATATATTATTCACATTTCGACTAGTAGAGTGTTAATTTCTTTGATTATGACAACGAATTCTTCGGGCCGGAGTCAGTATAAGATCTAAAATGCACCCACAATACACATACAAGTAATTAAATTAGATTTAGAGATTTCTACTGACTTTCAGAAAATACTTAGCATCAGATTCATAAAATCTAAATGTGATTTATATACTTGCACTAAGTGAGCTTAGAGTTATAAATGATATCATCTTACACTGTCGTTAATACTGATTGATCAGGTTCGAATGTGTAACGATCCGCACTTACCAAAAAACGTGAGTCTAAAATCTTCATGAAGTTAATTTCACTTCTAGGATTCACCGAGTGAATACACTGTATCAGTACAGTGGTTAAATGAACTAAAATTCCCTTTGTCCCTGTAATATTTGATTCAAAGAATGGAGTAGCACAGATGGGATACATTTTAGTGGCCCTATATCTGACTCCAGTTAAATTGTATACCGATTGTTATCGAAATATACATGCAGCCAATCCCCAGATATTTTTATCAACATTATCTGAGTTAAAGAATGATAGGATAAAATAAGTCAAGTACAAGCAGGAAGTTTGAACATGTATATTTCACATACTCAACAATCAGAGAAGTGATGGGAGCAGAGCGAAACTCGAAATGACACACAATGGTAAAGGAGAGTGAGCCAAATCGATTTATTCAAGCGTGACTCAATATTTATATTCAGACAAAAATGCGTTACAGACACGTAATGAATAGAGAAAACAATTAACACACACATACACACGATCGTTTAAAAATAATCAGGGTTAATAAGTGAATGACTGACAAGGTCAAAAGTGACTTGAGAAGAAGGAATAAATTGGTCTGTCTAGAATCTAGAATAATAGCCTAAATAAACTTGACATAATACCATCCATTACACTACAATACAATCCTAAAACCAAAGTAAACCTTATGATGAGTGAGCGAGAATGATAATGATTAATTGTCTGCTTAGTC